TAGTTGAAACTGCGGTGTACTAACGAAACATAGAAAGGAAAACCGCACACAAACCTAGCTCCGCGAATAGTATAATAGAATCCATAAGTGTGTATTGAACATTAAAAGAAAGAAATTCAGTCTCAGTTTAATAGGCATTTGTTCGCATACAGTTCGTAACGATTCTCTCTCTGTGTCGATTTTGGAAGTGAAATTCTGTTTGGATTGTGTAGAGAGGCAAAAAAAATAAGAATTGTGGTGCCCATTTTCCATTTTCCAATAAATTGGTGGAGACAAGGCAGTCGATAACAACGCGATTGAATTTGTCAACACGGTCTAAAAAGAGAGAGAGAGAGAGAGTGTGTGTGTGGCAGAGAATCAGGAAGGGAAAAACGAGAACATCAAATTTAGACGAAGTACTAGTGTGTGATAATTAAAAATGTCGGCTGAACGTGAAATTGCAGCTGAGGATAGCATTAGAGTGGTGTGTCGTTTTCGGCCGCTAAACGATAGCGAAGAAAAAGCTGGATCCAAAGTTATTGTCAAATTTCCAAATACGCAGGAAGAAAATTGTTTAACGATCGGGGTGAGTATATTTTATTATGCTATTTTGCTTTTCGCAAATGGTTTCGTGTGACAACGCAATGGTACCAATCGTGCCATCCAATGGCCTCTTCGATGTTTGCACTCAATATTTATGGCAACGTTTCAGTGATTGTTATTTGTTTCGTTTTAGTACTATTTAAATGTATTTATTCATTTGACGCTGTAATTTACAATTTCAACATGGATATTTTGTGAATATTTGCGCTTCAATTCATATGTCTTACCTAACTCCAAAACACCAATGTACAGAAGAAACCAATCAACACTCGTTAATACCTTCGTTCAAGTATGCGGTTCGGTTCTAGTGAATGTTGTAATAACTATTAATGGAACACACAAACGCAACAATGTCAGAAGTCGTTTCTACCAGTTGTGCAGCGCTTGAGAATTAAAACTCAAGAAAAAAATTATCATCAACCTTTTTTTTTATTACAAAAGGTTGATTCGTGTTCATTCTATTTCATTTTGTCTCGTTCGCTCATCACTTCATCTGCGTGATGATGAATAATGACGCTCACTCTCTTTGACAAATGGAAGCAAGGGTAATGGTGACGGTGAGGAAGATTAAATTTAGTGTGAAAAAACATGCCCGAATGAATCATAACTATAGCAGCACCGAATGCGTACTGTATTCGGTACACTGAATAGTTCGCTGTATACGTAAGCTTTTTCGTGTTGCTTTTGCTCTTCTGTTCTCCAGCGCGAGCGTACTGTTTTTTTATTCACTGCCTTCCATGTAAAATTCACTGCCTTCCATGAAAACATCTTAGCCGTAATTACAATTTATGTGTGTGTGATGTTGTTTTTTTTGTTGTTGTCAAATCATATGCTCGGCTATTTTCCGTACCGACGAAGCAGCGAAAGCTTTTTCCAACCGACGATCTATTAAGGTCAATGATTTTCTTGAGCTGCATGCATATCGTACACATTGCATTGCATTGCATTGCATACACATTCTGATGTGGTGATGCATATACACAGGAAAATCATCTATGAGCTGTGTACAAAATCGATTTATCGCGTACCACTTCTTCTCTATTGTAACCTGTATTTGAAATAGCCGTCGATTTTCTAGCTACGTAAACATCGTGTTCTCTATCAATCAACGAAAAATGATATTAAGACAAAAACTAGTTCTTTTTTCTCCTCTCACAAAAAGAATTTGACATTCAAATTCAAATGAATTGGGTTGCAAATACTCAAAGGATTGAAATATTGGAAATAGCTACATAAAACACGGTTTGATGCTCGATTTTAACAGTGATTGGAATTTAAGGAATTGGAAAAATATATGTTTCAGCAAAAATGTAAAGAAAAATACTTTGTACCAGCTTTGCGCAAATTCCACGTGTGCAAAAGTGCTATTTTGATCGGGCCCATTTCATTTTAATTAAATTCTTCATTCAAAACTAAACATTCGTTTCTGTTTTGTTCCACAGGGGAAAGTTTATTTATTCGATAAAGTATTTAAACCAAATGCCAACCAAGAAAAAGTCTACAACGAAGCAGCGAAGTCCATTGTTAGCGATGTACTTGCTGGTTACAATGGAACGATCTTCGCCTACGGTCAGACCTCTTCCGGTAAAACGCACACGATGGAGGGTGTTATCGGTAGGTTTTTCAATTTGAAATATCCAATCGCATTCCCATTTAATCACATGGTATTTCTCGTTTATTTTTTGTTCGCAGGTGACCCAACGAAACAAGGTATAATTCCCCGGATTGTGAACGACATCTTTAACCATATTTACAGTATGGAAGTGAATCTTGAGTTCCACATCAAAGTCTCCTATTATGAAATTTATTTGGACAAAATCCGAGATCTGCTTGATGTGTCGAAAGTAAATTTGAGTGTGCATGAGGATAAAAATCGTGTGCCTTACGTAAAAGGCGCCACCGAGCGATTCGTGTCCAGTCCCGAAGAAGTATTTGAAGTAATCGAAGATGGGAAATCGAATCGTCACGTGGCCGTTACAAACATGAATGAACACTCATCACGTTCGCATTCAGTGTTTTTGATCAATGTGAAGCAAGAGAATTTAGAGAATCAGAAAAAATTGTCGGGTAAATTGTACCTGGTCGATTTGGCTGGTTCGGAGAAGGTATCAAAAACGGGAGCCGAAGGTGCTGTACTGGATGAAGCGAAGAACATCAACAAATCACTCTCAGCGCTGGGCAACGTAATTAGTGCATTAGCCGATGGCAATAAATCACACATTCCCTATCGTGATTCAAAATTGACGAGGTACACAATAAATCTCCTATTCGGACATGAACTCTTTTAATCTTCAAATGAAAATAAATACTAATTGTCCTCTATCATTGTTTTTTCAAAGAATCTTGCAAGAATCTCTCGGTGGTAATGCGCGTACAACAATTGTGATCTGCTGTTCGCCGGCCAGTTTCAATGAATCCGAAACCAAATCCACACTGGAGTTTGGTAAACGAGCCAAGACCGTTAAGAACGTGGTGTGCGTGAACGAAGAGTTGACGGCCGAAGAATGGAAGCGTCGCTATGAGCGTGAAAAGGAGAAGAGCGGTCGACTCAAGGGGAAGTTGGAGAAGCTGGAACAAGAATTGGCCAGATGGCGTGCTGGAGAAAAGGTGTCGACGGACGAACAAGTAAACATCCAAGACATCATGGAAGCAAGTACATCGAATCTGGAGACTGTCGAAGCCGACACTACTACCCGAGCCAGTTTACCCAAACCAGCCACGACCATCATGGAGGGCTCGATTTCGAATGAAGAACGCGCTCGCTTGGAGGCCGAACGCGAACGCTTGTACCAACAATTGGATGATAAAGATGAAGAAATCAACCAGCAATCGCAATATGTGGAAAAACTCAAAGAGCAAATCATGGACCAAGAGGAACTTATTGCGAATGCTCGTCGCGACTATGAAAATTTGCAGAGCGAAATGGCTCGAATTCAACAAGAGAATGAGAGCGCCAAGGAAGAGGTAAAAGAAGTTCTTCAAGCGCTCGAGGAATTGGCTGTTAACTACGGTTGGTTGCGTTTTTATTTCCCAATATTTATTTCGGTTGTTTGTTCTGAGGTCATATTTTAAAATTGTTTTCAAATATTTATAGATCAAAAGAGCCATGAGATTGAGACCAAGAACAAGGATATTGAGACCATCAGTGAAGAATTGCAACAGAAACAGGCTTTATTGAACACCACCACCACAGAATTCCAACAACTCAAGGATATGTCGACGCATCAGAAGAAACGAATCAACGAAATGCTCACCAATTTGCTGCGCGATCTCAGCGAAGTGGGTCAATCGTTGATCGTTGGAAACACCGAAAATACCGTTGACATGAAAATCAACCCGGAAACCGTTGGAACCGGTAAAATGGAGGAGGAATTCACCGTTGCTCGACTTTACATCAGCAAAATGAAATCAGAAGCCAAGAACTTGGCACAACGCTGTCAAAACTTGGAATCCAATCAAACTGATTCGAACAAGAAAGTTTCGGAATATGAACGTGAGCTAAGCGAATGCCGATTACTTATTTCGCAGCACGAGGCCCGTATGAAATCCTTACAGGAATCGATGCGTGAAGCGGAAAATAAGAAACGCAGCCTTGAAGAGAATATCGATGCACTGCGTGAAGAGTGTGCAAAATTGAAGGCTGCCGAACACGTGTCAGCCGTCAATGCCGAAGAAAAACAAAAAGCCGAAGAATTGCGTTCTATGTTTGACAATCAAATGGATGAATTGCGTGACGCCCACACAAAACAAGTAGCTGAACTGAGAGATGAAATTTCCGAAAAACAAGAAGTTATTAATGAACTTAAAGAGTATGTATTATTCATAGAGCTATCAATCATCAGCGTCTACGAGTAGAAGGCACTAAGCAAATGTCAATAATTCCATTTTCAGTTTCAACCAGAAAATGACACTCGCTCACCAACAACTCAGCAGCGATTATGAGAAATTGAAGCAAGAGGAAGCCGAGAAATCAACCAAACTACAAGATCTCATGTATGTAACAATTCAAACGGTTTTAGAATATCTCAATTCGAAGCAAACTTCATTGACAATATCATTTATTTTAGCCTAACGAACGAACGTCGTGAACAAGCTCGGAAGGACTTGAAGGGTTTGGAAGACACAGTTGCAAAGGAACTACAAACACTACACAATTTGCGCAAATTATTCGTGCAAGATTTGCAGGTTAGATTTCGATTCAACTGCTAAAGCAATTCATGAATAACTGAAATTTTCGAACTTTGCTCTAATCTAATGAAAAACTTCCAATTTTCAGGCTCGAATTAAGAAGTCAGCCGCAGCCGAAGAGAATGAGGACGATGGCGGTTCGTTGGCACAGAAGCAGAAGATTTCATTCTTGGAGAATAACCTAGAGCAATTAACGAAAGTGCATAAACAATTGGTCCGAGATAATGCCGACTTGCGTTGCGAATTGCCAAAGTTGGAGAAGCGTTTACGTACCACAATGGACCGTGTAAAGGCCCTAGAAACGGCTCTGAAAGAGGCTAAGGAAGGTGCAATGCGTGACCGAAAACGATACCAATACGAAGTAGACCGCATCAAAGAAGCTGTCCGCCAAAAGAACTTGGCACGGCGTGGACCTCAGCCACAAATCGGTATGATGCACCCTTCCAAATTCAACAATACTCGCATTCAATTCACCAAATCGGTCTAATGGTTTTCATTTTCTCTTCATTTTGTAGCTAAACCGATTCGAGCTGGACAGGGACACGTTCAGAGCGGCATTCGAGGTGGTCAGGCGAATCCGGTCGTGAAACCAGTCTTACCAAAAACCTTCTCACAAAATTAAAAACCAACCAGTGAACGTTTGTATGTTTTACCGATCGAATTGCGATTTAAATTACTTAGTGGCTAGTTGTATAAGTGAACGCGACACTAAAACACTTTTGAGCAGAAAGAAGATGTGAATATGAAATTGCAATTTACCAGAAAATCTTCTTATAGCGAAAAATAATTTTTTCTCTCTCTCTCTCGCTGATATCGATCGAATCCATTGTGTCGAATGGATCATGTATCGATCTTGTTTTTGTAAGCAAACTTGCCTGTGCTTCAATTATAATTGCAAATTTATTACTATAATCGTATAAAAGAAAAACAGAAAAAAAAATCTAGATGAAAAAAAATTGTTATAATGTCATGCTTGTTTGAATATGTCAGCAGAAAGAAAACACACACATACACTCATACATACTCAACCTCACTCACAATGATTAACATTAGTTCTCGCCTTCGACCAGTTTAGTTCTTTCTTAAAAAGAAAAAAGCTTTTAAATCTCTATTCAGGTAGCAATCTAATCATTGTCACTTGTATTTTTTTTTATTTTATTTCAACTGAATTTTGTTCCTTTCTTTGCAATAAAATGACGCAAAATTCCTCGTTATATATTGTAAATTATTTTTTCGTTGGAATTTTCTTTCTCATTTTGGCTCATTACGAAAAACACTTAATGCCTTGAACATATGGACAGAGCTGTTTCATATTCTATCTATCTACTTCACAAAATCACTTGCAAAAACCACTAAAACTTATTTTTAATTTAACGTAGGTCAAGATGATGATGATTATGATGAGGTGAAATATTGTGCTGAGAGTCTAGTAAATCGACGATATTAAAGTAAAACACCTAAAACAAACTTTTACAAACTATGATATGTCTGAGTTTATGGAAGCCAATTCAAATAGGTCCCCATTTACATGCAATATATCATACGAAGAGCCTAAAATTGGTCCGACAGTAACTCAAACGCACCATAGAGAGTAAAACACATTTTAACACAACAAAAAGCACACAAGCAAAGAACACAAACTATTAACGCTAACGTAAAAAAACACTTCTTATTAAGAGCTGAATAAGCCGCAATGAAAAACAAAATTATCAACATGTAATTGCAAATTGAAGCTATAAATGCCAGTGCTGTAGAATTATTTGGAATGAAATACGATTCATTTTATAAAAAGGATTTGTTTAAATGCAGAAAAATATAAATAACAGACAAAAAACCGCATAGAGAGCAGAACGCAAATCGAACGGAACGAACGCGATTCCGATGGCTGGTGCAAAAATATATATATTTATTTAATTAGAATTGACTATAATAATTATAACTGAAATGCAAAAAAAAAAAAAATTATATGAATAAATGAACAATTCATTTTTTATGACAAATACTATATTTTCATTCAATTCAACTGTCTCGAAGACCTACATTCTGCGCTCCTCTTCGCCTATTTTATTGTATATTCTTGGTATTAATGATTGAATAAGGAATCGATATTAATTTGCAATGTCCTTGGCTTGATGAATGGCTTGATGCTTCTGTTGCTAGTGAGCGGCTTTTTTTCTCTTTTCTATGGTGCGAATAACAATATTTGTTTATTAAATGCTAGTTAGCTAAGCGCAATTCATATTATTTTTTATGATATTTACAAAATACAATTTAAACACAAAAAAAAAACATTTGAACAAAAAAAGTGCTTCATTTTATGATCTGCAAATGATATTGCATAATAATTTGTTGTTGCCGGGCTGGCAATTAAAATATTCAGAGTAGCGATGCGATGAAAGCCGTATTTCGTCAGAATATTACACGTATGAAATATGCGAATCGCTTTGTTCTCCGGTGCGCTACTTGAAATTGACAATGGTTTGTTCTCTGGTTCGTTCGGTCGGACGGTCGATGTGTGGCAACAGCTAGCAAATGGTTAAGACAGAAGGGCTTATGCATGAGTGAATTTCAAGCGGATATTCTAGCACACACGAAATGACCAGCGACTAAATAACTCAACTTGAACACTAAGCAGGTAAACGTAAATGGAATCAAAACAAATACACTCACACACACATATACGACACAAGTGAATAAGTGCGGTCGAAACCACGATACGTGATGTACCTACCATGGAAATGTCTAAGTATGTGCACAAATTATTCTACGATGAATTCTGTTTCGATGCGCAAATTTCATTGCTTGTTTGCTTTCTTAACTCGTTTCTATATTAATTTTCTGGTTTTTGAACTTACCTCATGACATTTTCAACGCAAATACCTACCTATTACAATGCGCTTCGATTCGTGATTCATCCGTTTCAATTAGCTGCATTTATTCACGTTTTTTGCAACAAATATCCACATATGACGATGACGACGATGACGACGACGACGACGACGATTCCCGGCCAAACTCCATTTTTTGCCAACAAAGAGAAAGTAACAAAGCAAACGCTCGCATTTACGTGATTTGCCGTCTTTTTATTCATTATATTTTTAGACATTCATATTTACAGTAGAATTTTTTTTTCCTGTCAGTATCTATCGTGATTCTTATTAAATGTTTTGTTGCAGTTTTGTTGTCAGTTTGTTTTTTTTTTGATTCATTCTGTTTCATGACTAAAACGAATTTTAATGTGAATCGTTTTGCTCTCTCTTCCTTCACTTATTACTAATAATAATTCGAATTGATAATTTTTTCTCTCTAAAATTTCAACACAAACAATTAAGATCGTTACATAACAAGATTCTATGTGAAAACTTTGATTGATTGATTCTTTTTTTTGCATTAATAAGTTTTAGTTTGAGGGGAAACGAAAGGTTTCAATTCAAGCGACTTTTTTTTTGTTGACTAATTTGCTGCCATGCTTTTTCGCAGTGTATTAAGATGAACGTCGAAAAATGTAAGCAAATGCAGAAAAAAATCCAACCGTTTTCCTGTGGACAAAGCAGTAATCAAGCACCGACAACCGATGATTTTCAAATGATGAGTGAAGTCTGTAGCAATCCGACCATTTCTATGGCTTCAATTTTATTATGTAAATCAACCCGTTGGAATGTTTTATTTTCCGAACCGTTGGCTCATTCGTTTGCACACATTCATTATGTAACAGGTGTACGTATGCAAATTGTCTTTGAGTAACCCGAAAATATCTGGTTCAATCCACAGACCTCTACTCAGAGAAGCGGAAAACATAGGGCACTATTGTACGATTCTGCAAGTGATAAGCTTTAAATATTCAATTTGTGTGGGGAAACATTCTGCGATCGCATCGGAGATAACATCGAAGAAAGTAGCTGTGTTCTGTCTTTTTGCATTCATGCCGCACACAATCAAAGAGGGGAGCAGAATGTGAAGGTTCCCGATTTTTATTCCAACAACATTTGAACGATTGTCTTGAACACTTCAATTACAATTCATTTCTGAATGAGAGGACATTTATTATCATTCTGATGGCGGTTAGTCGAGTAATTAGTCGAATGCATTTCTGATTATACCTCTTTTTTTCACAAAATGCAAATTGGCTAACGTATTTCACTTCACTCGTACACGTTCTGTGTCTGTTCACATGTTCACAGTAGTGACCGTAGTAGTTCTATACCGTTCATTTTTTTCGCTCATTTCAATAAACACATGGAAATGGTTTTGACGTACATATGCTGCATGTTTATTTCTGGTCTTTGCATAAGTTTTTGACTGAAGTGAGAACATTATTGCTGTCGTATAAGTGCTTGAGATACTGTTTAAATATGTATAATACTTGTATTTGAAATGCCGTTTGCATGTTTCGTTCTTCAAAATGAGTTTAGTAGTATGGTAATGTATGTATGTGTTCCGAGCAAGAGGAAAACCAGCCCATTGTAATTTGGTGCAGTAGAGCGATGTTATTGTGTGTTTGATCATCGATTCTCTTGGCAATTTCAGTGCTAATGCATCCAAATCGAAAACCATGACTTGTTAATTCGATATTATTGAATACGTTTTTTTTTAAATGCACTTCACCGATGCTGTTTCGCTCTTTCCCTACTACCGGCTCTCTCACATACTATGTGTGAATGTGTGCTTATTTACTTTGTGGTACAATGTTATTCAAATTCGTTGCATCAATTACAGTTTTAGTTTTCTTTCTGACTGAGTATGATTTTATTTCTTATTTTTGCTTTGTATCATCTGATGGGTGTTGGAAATGCTTCCATACGAAACCTATGTCAAACTTAATGGCACGCTTTTTGAACGACCATAATCCAATGAAAATCAACATAGAACCGCATAGAACCAAAATATTACATTTCAATCGAATGAATTTCTAAGATTAGTCCAAAAAATAACACGAAATATATATATATTTTTTCTTTATATCTATCTTTAAAAAATGTTCAAACCTTCGCAAAACTGGTCCATTATCATTATACTGAATCTGTGTCAAAAAAAAAATGTCTGCACCATGTTTTTGTTTCTTATGTATGGCCAATAGCAAACATTAGGGTACAAATTTCACATTGTCTAAATTCTAATTTATTTACCACGATTCCCATTGCTAATTACCACATTACATAACCGGTAAACGTTCATAGTACATCGAAATGAAAATGTCTTGCATTATTAAAGATATTTTCATTACCGTATTTACAATCTCGATAATATTATATGAGAGGTGAGTGTCACGATCATCATTAACAATTTCAGTAACCTATTGACTTGTTATAGTTTAGTCAGAAAGTATTGTTGTTCATATTTAGACGCCAACTATTTTCAGATTCGTGGTGTTGCAATTTAAACACCGTTTTTTTCTTAAAATCGGAACTAAATCGCAACACGAAACAACAAATTGAAAAATCAAAACTCACACAATCAAAGTATTTGACGTGGAACAAATACTCTTTTCAAAAGCAAAAAATCAAAAAACGCAAAGCAATATAGCGATAGAGAGAAATAGACAAAAATGCTACCGTAAAAAATTAAAAGTATACGAAATTAGCAACGGAAAAAGTAACTTTCAGAGATCAAACTTTCTAAATTCGATTGAATCCAAACATTTAAATCAGAGCTCGCATGCCGCATCGAAATGAGTGCGAAACGAAAAGTTGGCATCCAACCGGGTCGACAGCATTTTGATAGATGGCCAAAAGAGCTGTCGAACTCAGTCGAGTGGAAATTTTCGTAGAAATCTAACCGTTGATTGATCGTTGCTTGCATTTCAATTACATTGATGGTAGAAAGAAACAAAAATCTTCGCTATTATACCGTGCATGAATACAATTCATTTGATGCGAATCGAATCAATCGGAAGTGGACTTTTTGGAAAATACGTATAAAACGTTTTGTCCGCAAACCTATACAATTCGAACCCACCACATAACCTTTGTTTCGTCATTGATACTGTTAATTGAATCTTTTTAAATTCTGCAACTGTCTATTTCTCCAGAAGTGGCATTGTTGCCATCAGAATGTTGCGAAAAAAAACTTAATTTGAACGCAAATATAAAATAGAGTTCAATAAATGTTTGAATCATATCGATCGGCCAACCATATAGAATCACACCAAAAACTGAACATAATGGAAATCAGTTCGATTATGCATTACGTAAGCGCACACACCGTGTGTAACCGAAAGCATTGAATAAGGCCATTACAAACAATTTCTACATGCGTTGCGGTCCTTGGCATTGTCTCGTACAGGCGAATTAAATACTGGTTGCCATACATATAAGTCTCTCTCATTTGCAAGAATATAGCGGCAACATGAATTACGTAAACTCGGCTATTTTTTCTGTTGTTGTTGCTTTGCTGGGGCTCCGCATAAGTTAATTATTGTCATATCGATCGTGTTTGTTGAGAATTTGCAACGTCATTTCAAATGGAGCATGATTCAATTAACTTTTTTTCTCGCACAAAATTTTGGGCGATAGATTGCGTTACATTGCTTCAAATGTACAACAAATCGTAATCCTTTGACGTAATCATCCGTGAGCCAAGCGAATTTTGGCCATTTTGAACATTCATCGCAGAATCGAATGCAATAACGGAGCAAGATGTGAAAATTGTCTTTTTTGCAACGTGTGTGTATGCTTCGACCGAATGACGTCGATTCAACAGTATTCTATGCACGGGTATTTGAATGTGTGTCAAGGTCAACAGTATTCTCTATGGAAAGGTTACCCTGCTAATTATTTATTATGTATGTGCCCCAATTTGTGGCCTCTTTTTCTCATTCTCTGCGCCCAAACTCCACAACATAACGAATGTTTTTCGTTCAGAGTGTTTTTTCACCATGTTCTGTGTATTGTGCCGTTTGTGTTACGTATCAGTGTTATTTTTTTGTCGGTGGCGTTAATTAATCATACTGGGTGGTGGATATTATCCTGGTTTTGTTCTCTGTGGATGGGCCCTCCATCGAATCGATTGACGCTTTTTGTTGCATAAAATCAACAACAGCAGTTGGATTTCGTATGACAAGGACACACTGACTTTTTCCTTGTTGCTCTATATATGCGCTTTTTTTCATACATGCATTCATTCTATCGTCATTTGCCTTACCCTGACCGAAAACAAGATGGAAGAAACGTAATGGGCCCATACACATTTGCGCGCTACAGACAACTCCATGCACAAATGCATATGCATATGATATGAACCACGTTCGCGTTGAACTTAAAAGAAGCATTAAATCAATTTGATGTTCTGGAAATCACGAAGAAAAATTATATTTTTTGCACGAGCAAAAATGTAAATGTACTGTTCCAGTGAATAAAATAAAAGTAAAAAAAAATATAAAACAAAAAGTGGTTTTTGCACGGATTCGTTTGCATTTTAATAGGTATCTTTTCGTCTTCCTCAGATAAGTCACATAAATATGAAACTGTTTGCCCATTTATTAACTTTAAGTGTAATTATTCTAAAAAGAACATTAAAATTATTATGTTTGTTTGTTGTTTTTTTTCTATATGTACAAAATACATTGTTCTTCTTTTCAGCTATTCTACATAAGTGAAGCGTGAATGCAGAGCCGAAAATAAAAGCCCGTCTTTTGGTTTGTGAATAAAAAATATCGAATTTATATATGGTAGCACTGCGCTTCTACAGCAAAAACAAACAAAAAAGAATTATTGAAAGATGTGGCTTTCATTTGCGACTTCACAAATCGGTGTATTTTCATTCTTTCTAAACCATTTTCATTCGATGCACTGTAAATTCTATCGTTCTCAAACGTTGTTATAGGTATTCGATCAGTGTGTTTGTTGGGCCTCAGTTTTTCATTATTGCTGTGTAAATAGTTTTTCTGTTTATTTTCTTTCTCCAGTTAGTATTTGACATCGAACAACTAGGACTTGAAGAGTTATGGGAATTTATCGGCGATAAGTGAGATGAGAATATTGCGCAATAATTTGGAAACTGCATTTTAGACACAAGAATTCAACAATTATCGATTCAGCTATTAAATATTATTATTTTTGTTTTGTTTTTCTTTACACATTATACATGTTATCATCTAGTCGCTACGCTTTATTTCACTTTTTTGTTGGTTTGTTGGTTTGTGTGTATGGTTTTTGTTTACTTTGTCAGTTTGCGCTTGTGTCTGTTTAGTAAAATCAAAATGTTGATAGTGTTTAATGCATAACTCTATTCCATCAGTAGCTAGAAGTTTGTTTGTTTTTTTTTTCTCTTTAATTAATTCGAATTCAAAGTATTAAGATTAAGAAGAATCTATGTATAACATTAAGTAGTGATCTTTCTGTTTGTTGCTTATTAATAGAGATATATTACGAAAGGGTGTTACAAGATGCAGCAGGTCGCCGCACAACATCGCCTAGAACCGCTCTTACTTTTTTGCCGTTGGTCTGGAATGAAAACATGGGGAAAAAACAGAAACAAATTGCTTGTCAAAATCCAATATTCATTTGTTTGATTTACGTTTTTACTTTTTGAAATGCATTTTCCGATTAAATAACTAAACGCTTGAAAGTAGCATGTTTTGTTCATCGAAATCAATGTGTGCGAATTGTTTTTGCCCACATCATGAAAACGAAACGGAATTTTTTTATTTTTGTGTGCAAACGCTCGTGTTTTTCAATCAGTGGTTCGTGAAAAAATTCGTTTCTTTTCTATTTGCACATGTTTTGGCGTGTGGTTCGTTCAATTGGAAGATATGCGTTGCACAGCAGCACATGTTCAAATCAATTACCTTGAGAGTTGGGCTCAGGAAGGTTATCACGCGGCACTAGATGCATAACTGTTGTCTTTCCCAATGGTAGAACTAGCGCTCCTAACGTCACATTACAGTGTAAAAATCTACCTTGATAAATTAATCGTAGTACTTCGGCTTTTGGTACGGCTTCAGCTGCCCAATCTATTGAAGAGAGACAGAGAGAGAGAGAGAGAGAGAGGGGTAGAAAGAGAAATGAAGCAAAACCAAATTGGAGATAAGTGCAAACATTTGGATTCGGAAATTGGAATAATCGAACTCATCGTCGATAGTGGAAAATTGGTTGTCAATGGTGAAATGCAATTGATTGTTTGCTCTAAAATGAAATTTACCTTCGGGCCAATTATCGAATACTGTTTGTGCAATATCGCCAGCTGAATCAGAAGGGCTGAACAGAAATTCCTTTGTTTTTCCACTCACGAGAATTAAACGCAAGTTTATCTGGAAAAGAAGAGAAAAAAAACAGACACACAACAAATTAATCACGGCTGAATAAACGGAACACAGGCGCACGAATGTGAATCGAAGAACATTTCTATAAAATTAATTTGAAGAAGAAGGAGAAAAAGACTTGAAACATTTAAAAGTTCCACGTACAAACTAAATGAGAAAAACCTGGTAAATTTATTGAATATTGTAATTAAAAGTCGGATTCTTTTCTACTTCAAACGTAAAATATTGATTGTGGTTTGATGCGATCGGAATGTGGCTCTCGTTTATTTTTGCTATTTGATGGAGTCAGTAAACCACCGACGATCCAATCGAAAGCGAGAGAATGTGTTCATTTTTGGCCAACTTTCCATCGATTATGTGAAAATAACAAATAATCACGCGGTGCTTATCAATAAATTCACTGATTTGTTGGACGTTTCCGCTCAAAAGTGAAAGAGCAAAGGAAAAAAAGCATTACGCCATTGCAAGCGCGTGCATTTAAGTTTTGGAAAGCAATTCAAATCATTCCACAACTTTCCTCATAATTTTCTATTTTTGCGTGATTTCACTCGATTTTCGATTTTCCTCGTCGGTTTTCATTTAGCACAGAAAACTTCGTATGCCGTATTGTTCTCCCAAGTAATAATAATTCCAATTTAAAGTTGGTGTTTCGCTTTTCAGCAGCAGAAGCAGCGATACGATAAAATAAGCCACATCCAATACAAAGTGAAATGCATACGAGTGAGATAGAATTAAGTTGAATGGCACGGTGGAAATGTGACGTCGGGATACTGTTTGTGGTTCGAGTTCATTCTTTTGCTGCCCGAAATGAACGATCAAATCGAATCGAATCGAATGAACAGCACGCAAAAATCGACTGGAAGTGAACCAAAGGAAGGCAAGTCGTCATGGAGTCAAATGTGCGGTAACCGTGTGCGGTATGCAATAAATAAATCATTTCATTAAAATCCCACCGGAAGCCAACTTGCGCTTGAACGACGGCACACATAACTTGTACTTTTGTCGGAGCGTAATAAATGTGCATCATCACATATTTAAACGTTTTGTTATGTTCAGTCAGTTATTCATATTTTTTCCATAGTTTCGGTAAGTCCTCTTATCACTTAACAATGCGAACAGCATTTGCCGACACGATACTGCAAATAATGATAGAATGCATATTGCATGTAATTCCATGCAATGCACACATGAACGAACGAACCTAACTGGCGTATGTGTGTGTGTGTGTTCGGTGTTCTCTAGTGCATTCTGTACGTGGTTGCACAGGACATGAACGAACGTGAATCGACAAAATCGCCGACAGACGCTTGCCCGTCCGCTCGTTTGCTCGAATACCCACAATTTTGCTGTTTTCGTGGTCAGTGACATTAAAATGCAAAGTTCACTTTGTGGGAGTCACTCTCTTCACTGGCTGGTGTGTGCGTGCATGTATGAGTATTTGCTCAAGTATTGCATGATTGCTTCGATGATTATTAATTTTTATATATCAATCCAGGCCATTTGTTTCGGCTGCCATGCCTCTCAAACCCTTGGCTCATTTTGCTAATCATCATCATCAAATATTTGACACTTCGTCCACATTTTATGTGATCGATTTTACTTTATATGTTCTGTGTTTGCCAAATGGGAATGATTCATAATAATATTTGATACACATGAGAGTGTGTTATTATATATGTTGGACCGACCCGCCTATAATTTATTGACTTTAATCCATTCACTGCACTGAAACTCTTCAATCCAGTTGGAACATTTACCAATGACATACAGACGAAAAAGAAGAAAAAAAACATCCAAAGAATAAATGCGTCATCACGTTGTTATATCATCGCTGTTGTACCATGTTATATGTCATTCAGCTATTGTGGGTTGACCATGTTTTTGGCATAGTTCGCCATCCATCGCTTGCATTTGTTATGGGAATATAATATAATTTTTCAAGTCATCTTACTTCCATTTCTCTTGCGTCTGCTTTTGGATTGTGACCTCTTTCTGCACCATCTCAAGTGCCTTTGATTTGCACAAAGACGTACGAAGCGGAAAATAGAACGATAAAATGCAGAACTCGGTCAATTTGATTCTTAGAACGCGCTAAGCCAGCCTTACACTACATGTTCTTTTTTATCAGCCATGTGTGTATTTCGCAACTACGTAATGAACGGTACTATGGATGTATGCATGTGAAAATGAGAATTTGTATATGTATCCGATTTGGAAAATGTCGCATGGATTTTTGATCGGATAGAGAGTTTATGTCAAATCAAAGCAGCCGCTTGATTTGAGGATTCTAATCGATTTTTATTTCAAAGTTTAAATTAGAATACATATTTGAAAAGTTTTAAACTCATTTCTTCTTAATGTATAAATTAGAACAAACGTTTATGTCTCATATCTGATGTAATGAATTCGCTCGCTGTCGACAATTTGTGAAATTCGAAACTTGTTCCTCATTTAAGAATGGCACTTGTTCACACTTGTATTATAACACCACCGGAATTGAGATAACATGACCGAAAAAAAACATGTTGAAATTGACGATAAAATCAACGAAGTCTAGGGCAGTCAACAAATTTTAATTTTTAATTGTAGACTTGGTTTCTGATTGGGCTTATATTTTTTTCTCTTTCAAAAATTCAAATCAATATCAACAATCACAAACAAACAAATGAAAAACTAATTGATAGAAGGTCAATGCATGTGTAGGAAAAAATATTGAATCAACAATCAATTAAATATGTACTTTAGTTGTTTGGTTGGCATTCGATTATTGATTCTACAAATAACCGGAAACGATAAATATTCCACGATAAGCCAGCAATTTGTGTTTATCAGAATGAAAAAATGATGTGTAATGCCCAAATCTCCTGCCGAAACCGTTTTTCTTTTCATGTTGGCCCGCTGTAGACCATTAAACGATTAAAAAAAAGAGTCAAGTGCAATGAATTATAACTCATAATTTTATACACGATACGAAATGGTGATAGTTCTATGAACTTATCATACAACCATCCAATCGCGCCGCTGATAACAAAACACCGCCACCGCCGCAATACGACGAATCATCATTGTATTTGGCAATTTTGAGGTACTAACCAAAACAATAGTCATAATGGACAAAATGTCAGTGGAGTGACGAATTATATTGAGAGAATCATTGATAATGAAAGAAAATAATGTGGTATCAGCGTTCATTTTACGACACGATTGCTCGAACCAATAAGATGTTGACGAAATGGAAGAAACAAACGAATCAGTTTGTTTAAGTAAATATCATTACGATATAATTTTAAAGCACGTCTATCAAGAATAGAAGATAAATAAAAATAAGTGTTGAGAGGAGTGAAACGTAGATGAGAGCAACAGCACGAACGCCAGGGTTCTTTTTGTCAACATTGAAATGTTTCTCTCTTTTCTTTATTTGCTCAATGTTAAAGTGGTTGAACAACAACAACAAAAAATGCGGGCTTTGCATAGACCAAATGAATGATTATTTTTATGTTTGACGAATTTCACGGTTCTTTGTATACTACGTAGGAAATCGTACTGAAGGCATGTAGTACTTCGATATTCCATTGTTGTTGAAATTTCGTTCTCATTTTTCGTGAAAATATTCGCGAATATTCAGTACGTGGATGTTCAATGTTCATTGTTTTAAATGTGGAGCGATAATGAGTTGGCGACAAATGTTACGCTTCATTTTCGACAGATGAATTCATTCGGTCGGATTGAATGAACTCGTACCATATGTACGTACGCACATACATACATACATACATTCAAAGCCGTTGGAAATTGTATTTTATGAGTTGGCCTAATTGGGCGTTTATCTGTTCGTCAGACGGAAAACTTAAATATGATAATTGCGTAAAGCATTTCATTTATAAATGGATTTACCTTATCAGCAGGTATATTTCTTGAAGACATGATGTTCGGATTATGGCTGCTCCCTTCCTTTCTCTATGTCTGTGTCTGTGCTGGTGTGCTGATGCGCTCTCCTTCGTTCACCCAATGCACTTGTAACAAGTCGTCAATATAATCGAATCACAATGAAAACGAAAACCCCGAGAGAAGAAAATTTATCTCGAATCGAATCGACTTGCACAGACGAAAATGGTAAAAATGTGTTTGCTTGTTTTGTTTCTCCTCTTGTGCCTTCTTCTTTTTTTTGTTCTTTTTATGAGTCTGATTCTAAGAATCTTTTATCGAAAGGTTTCGGCACAGCCGAAAATGTTTAAAATGCTGTTAATGTGTTGCAGTCTATTCAGGAATATGTGTATAGTGGTGCTGGGGGTCGAAGATGTATCGTACAAACGTCACGAATATCCGTATTAATGTTTGTTTTCGTTCGAAGTCGGACGATTTGTTCTCTTTCTATCTCTGTCTCTCTCTCTCTTTCTCCTCTGATTTGTGTGTCACTTTTTAGTCTGTGTTTTAGTCCTCTGGTGAGCCGCGCTTCGCTAATGCGTTTCTCTCGTTTCCGATTCACCAAATGCGTTTTGTTCAAGCGTCGTATCTAGGCTCTCTGGTTTCAAATCTGTATTATTCTTCGACTTTGTTATTATATCGGCTATGTTTCGTCTTATGCCATCAAGGGCTCGTTATCCTATCGCAACTTATTTATGATGTTCGTTTCGTATCCAATTTTTTTTTTGGAGGTTTCTCCTTTTTTCTTCTTCTTTTCTACTTTGGTATTGAAAATATGAAAAAACATGAATCGGCTATCGGTGTCTATTTCTTGTGTTTCGATTTTTCTGGCTTGTCTTCTTTTTCCCTTTAATTTCGTGATGCTCTTTTTGTCTGTTTATTTGTCTGTCGGCAGCTGGGAATTTCGAACTCACCACCCTCGTACGTTGAATGCACTCACAACAACAACAGCAGCAACAAAAAAAATGTATTCGACGTGTGTGCAATATCCTTGTGAGTGCAATGTAAAATGTGCACTCTTCTAGCCGCTTGTCATAAGTGCTATGTCAATTTTTCACGCATCACTTAATCTTGTACTGGCTGTGATGTCTTCGGAAAAGTCGGGTTCTACACTAAGAACTAAAATAAAATTTTGTACGTTGTGTTTTGATTCGAATGCTTGGCAGCTAGAAAAACACGGCACATAAAATCGATTTTAACGCTCACTAGTCGGAATATTGTTTTTTTTTTTCGATTTTCTTTGCTTTTGTCGATTTCCTGTGTTGCTCAGTTTTGTCGGATGGTTTCCATGGAAAACCCGTTTGAAAACTAGAGTCGTCGCAATTTACTTAAAATAATACGCACGAGAGACAGACAAGTTCACACTATAATGCAATTTCAACTCCCTGATGGCAGCACAAATTGTAACGAACACAATAGATTCTGAGTAAATTGTTTGTCGTATTGTTGTTTTTGTTATTTTTTCGGTCGTATAAATTCACATAACACAATGATCGAGTCGCACAGAAAAAAAAGCGATGGACCAAATACACAAAAACGGAATTCAACGTATTTTTTTTTATTATGTTTTCAGCTTTTTAAATTTGATTATGTAACTTGTTCATTTTGTCGTTGATGATGATCACAATCGTGAAATAACACTGGTATTTTTTGAAACACACACACAAAAAACTTTGCTGATGACTGTTGGGTTTGCGATGAATTTTCTATCCTTTTCGGGACGCGTGACGAAGTGCTCACACTTAGATCTGAAACAATAACAAATGAAACCTTTTAAATTATAATTCGTCGACAAAGTAAACTGTGTGTGCTTTTTTAATTCGCTTCTGTTGTTGATGAATACATCGCAATAGCGATAGAAAACCGAAAATTATGATGTGTTTTTTTTCTCGTTAGACAGACAAACGTAACCAATTTCACATCAAAAGAGAGAGAGAGGGAGAGAGAGAGAGAGAGAGAGAGAGATCACGAGATGAAATTACCTAACTGTAGAGTCAAGAGAGATTGACTGAAAAAAAATCGCTTTAAATAAGGTGAAATTAAAACGTGCATAGCGAATGATGAAGATTCACACAATTTTGTAACACAGTTTTCCTTCGATTCAATCGTACACAAACGCTGTATGTGTGTGTGTTTAGTGTGTTTGCGGTGAATATGGCGCAATTTATTCGAGCTCAAAATAAGAAGAAAAAAATGTTGTTTCACGTACCAAAAGTACCTATTTGCTTATGATGGATTCGACGCTCAACAACGAATGGCGAATTAAAACAAATAACACACATTTCAATTCACCAGCGACAAGCAGCAAAAGACTATGAAAAGTACAATGAACAGTCTGCTAAAGTCGGAAAGATGTGAAAAGAATACACACGGTCGAATCGTTCATTTTGGTGTTTGTATTATTCATTTTCGAAGAGGAACAGAGAAAGCGAATTAAAATTGGCACGCACAAAACAAGCAGGCAAGCTGGCCGACTGTTCGCGGTTCGAACATCATATGCTGCGATACATCGAGCGAATGAATTATGGTATGATTTATGGAACAATGCAAACAATAGCCGAAGTCCATTGAATATGCATTGACGAAGGCGCTATTTAGATTTTAATACTACAAAAAAAACTTCCATCATCAAAAGCAGCATATGTGAATGCACATCCAACGAATTAAAAGTGGCGTATCGAGGGAAAAGTGGCGTTCGGGTTGTAATTTCAGATGGCCATTGAACAGAAAGCAACACGATAAATTCAATGGATCTCTGGTTAATGTATTATAATTGTGTTATTAGAAATACACATATCTCTGGACATCAATCTGTGCCCAGTCAAGTCAATCACTCTCTCACACCACTTAGAAACAACACATCCAAAAAGCTGAACCATATTTACTCGTTAGGTTTTATTACATTACATTTTGAGGTCTACGAAATGAAATGAATGTGCTTTTCCTAGTTTTTCATTTGAAGTACGCAGCCGTTGCGTTTAGTATGTCTATTGTTAAGATCGGCTTTGAAGTCCGTATCGCGCGAATCTTTACGTTCAGCGCGATCAAACGCACGTTCAATTTAATTATTCATGTAATTGAAATTGAGTTAAATTTCTTTTCTCCGCTTTAGAATGTGAAGCGGTAAGCAAAGCTGACGATTGAGAACGCTTGAATGAATCATACATTTAATAAACAATACAAATCATATTTAGTACTGTCGCGTCATAATAATATTCGTATTCATATTTTGGTTTCTTAATTGATGACACGTTCCACTGTGCATTGAGTGTAAGTGTAATTGCTCTCTGATGGCAGATCTCGGGAGTAAATTGGAGTCAATGGGTGCCTTGTATTAAAATTCGGTTAAATTTAGATATTTTCATGAAACTTTCGAATGAATCGGTTATCATCTTCATTTATTTGGCTGTCATTCGTTCAACAGTTTTCAATTGAATGTTTATCACAGACATCAAGATGTCTTATTAAGCCGTTTTGAATAAAGAATTCGCAGCACTCCAAAAAAAAGTTCGATTAATGACAATTTTCGATCCGTTCGAACGCCTACCTCGATGAGACATTGAAATTAATATCATCGAGCTTGGCTTTGCCCAGCTGAGCAAAAATTGAAAGGAGAAATTAAAAACATCAACACTCAGAATTTAAAACAGTTCTTTTGCTGTCGGTGCGAAAGAAACACAAACACGGAAAATGACTGAAATCCAATTTACAGCAAATGCAAAGTCATAACAAACAAGATTCGAGCACACAGCCACATTAATTACAGACTTCTCGTTTGCATTTTTTTTTCTTTCATCTTTTAACTTTGCGTATTATTATTTAATTTTCTGTCTGTGTTGAATTGCAAACTACACGATTTGCAATAGCTATATTGCTGTTTGTTCAATGCAACGAAAGACAAAGAGAGGGCGAGAGCGAGAGAGAGAGAGAGAAAAGAGAGTTCAGATTACGATGATGTTTTGTTGCTGTGTTGTGCGTTGTTAATTGATTGAAGAGTGAGAGAAAATACTTGGCATAAATTTAGGTGTAATTTTTCTGACTTGAGTCTTTATAAATATAATTGCTTGTGTACGAGTGTCCTCTTACTCGCATTGAATTTGAACGTGCGTTTCTTTATCGACTTTTCTCTCTCTTCCTCGCTCTTTCTCTCTCTTTGTTTTTAATACACTGGATCTCATTTGCAGAGAGAAATGAGAGCACGGGTGAAAGGGATAAAATGATTTCAGTCACAAAAACCTCTTTTTTGTCATTCTAAAATGTTTGTAACCTTTTTTTAGTGCTTTGCATCACACACATTTGCCACAAAAATAAACCAACGCGCTACTAGAAGTGATTGAAACACACATAGTGAGTAAACAAAAATATTATGCAACTCTGCACAATCCGAAATTCAATCGATTATTTGAATACATAGAGTCTGTATGTTTGGCCACTGATTCGATTGGGAGAAAGAGAGAAAAAACTCAGTTGTTTTGATAGAAGGCCAAATCTTTTGGAATGATAAAATTGGAATAATCGATTCATTGAACGAAGAAAAAAAAAACAAATAACAGTGAATCGGATTGATTAACACAGTTGTAAATACAGATGGTTTGTCATAAAAGTAGATAACACTACAAATTATAAAAAAATAATAATTTTGTTCGTCTCTTTGCAAAGTTGTTGTGTATCTTATGGAGGCACTGAGTTTTTCTCTCTTGTCATTGGCTTTGTTATTTTGAGACTGGTGCCAATATTGTTCGTGTGAATCTAAAATAAGTTGCGTGTTCGACTGCACTGAATTTACAAAATTTCCTTCGCTTCTGTCTGTATAATTTTCAAGTCAACTCGCGTTTCATTCATTTATTTCTGTCGAAGGGCCAGCATTATATATAATTTTCTTTAATTCACTCTACTACAGAACGACTGACTGCTTGGTTTGTCGCATTTTCAATTTTATGTATCCACTATGTGTGTTATTACGCTCAATCTCTATAAACTCGATCTATACTTTGATGCATTCCTTTTTTGGAAATAAATCACATTTTTCTGCCGTACGCGAAACAACAGAAGAGAGAGAAAAACAACTTAGTTCACAATTTCGAAAAGCAGAAATGAAAAACCAAATCGCTAAGATTCAATTCTTACGTGTAGAATCGTCGAAATGAGTCGAAGAGACCATCAGATGGTTCACTGATGGAAGTAGAATATCGAGCGAATTGTGTTTTTCTCCATTCAACTTAAAATTTTGTTTCTGTGTTCACGTACACGTTTTATCTATGGTTCGGTTTTCTCGAAACTTATTTCACTTTTTATTTGAACAATATTTTTTTTACTACTTCACACCGCGAATACAAGCAAATACACAACCAACTGATGAACGACGATGATGATGACGACGACTGCGAGAAATTTTGTATTTATTTTCTATTCCACTGCCATAACTCTTTGGGCTTCAGAAACTAAATCAAACGCATACACGCAGATATACAAAGAGTTTATATCCATACAACGCCACACGTTCGTACTGTTCTACTGCTATTGCTGTTGTTGCTGCTGCTGCTACTTCTTCTTCTACTGCTGTAGTCGACGATATTACTGCAAACAATGAAGGCGATATATGGCTCCGTTCCACACACAGAGAGACCTGTATGCTCTCGTATTCACTGACTAACGCGCGCGCACACACAACCACATCCAATCGCATTCGCTACTATTACAAATGACAAAATGAAAGATGTTAAAAATAACAACCATACACACACCAATACTTATGACGCATTTGTGATGATTCTATTCCCAATACGGGAATCTCTATTCATTCATTTGACTGTGTTGAGTGTGCGCGCGCGTGTGTGTGTGTGCGTTATGATTACGTCGGTCCATGCAATGTTCATTTGTACTTGCGTTTTCTGTTTTGACCTGATTCTTTGTTATTGTATGGGTGGTATCTGATCTCAACGCTCAACCGAGTGGTGAATTTGTTGCATATACCTTGACGTGGGCATATCTGAACATGTTCATGCCTGTGTACAGACACACTTATCTCAGTGCGAATGACCAACATTCAGCAATTTGACTCAACACAAGCCGTTTGAACACTTTTTCTTTGCAAACACCTTCAAATTCTAGTCGGAGCACAAATGATATCAATTTTCATTTCAAACTACTATTTTAATGTCGATATTTTGCATTCTTTTTCAATTTTTCCAACTAATTTTTCCACATGAATACACAAAGTTTGTGTTGTATAAAAATAATAGTAGATCCAACGCCATCTATTTTTGTTCAGCACAACAAATGCTTTTCAGCTGATTACAAAATAAAAAAAAAACAATGCAAAAACGTCATCTTAGCCCTCGTACTGAAAATGTGCTGTTTATTGCTGCGCATCCCGTATTGTTTATTTGTCGAACACAGTGTCCACTGTTTATTATTTTCCAAATTGGATTCATTTAAAGTGTTGATCGTTGACTTTTGTTGTGATCGCAAGCTGATGCGTCTATTGTGAAAGTTAAACAAAGAACTATTTAAAATGCAACAACGTTATCCCGAACAACGAGATAAATTATGGATTACTGGATTTTCGCCGGAGCTTCCCGACCACGATCTCCGGCAATTTTGTGCACGCTTCGGGACATTTGTTCATTTGTTCCGAACGAAATACAAGACTGATGTATTTTTAAAATATATGACGGAAAAAGATGCAGAATTGGCCATGAATAAATTCAACCAAGACAACATTACAGCTAAATATGCATACGATAAGAGTAATGGCACATCCCAGCAGCCGGATGGAAATCAAAGACGTGTTCGTTTTTCGAACGAAAATGGTGGCCGGCAATCGAATGAAAATAGAGATTTGGTGAATGGCTCATCAAAACAAGGTGTATCACAAAAAACTACGGTATTCCGAAGCGGTGAAGAGGTGATTGTAACACATGTACAGGCAGATTTCTATTTTTATGCGCATCCAAAGGCAAAGGATCAAGAACTCAACCAATTGCTTGAGGTCATCTCAGAATCAGCTACGAATGCCGAACGATTGGCTGGAATGCCAAGAAAAGGTGACTTGGTGTTGGCGTGCTATAATGGTAATTTTCGCCGTGCTCTGGTTAAAAGCAATATCAACTCTCAAAATGAACTCGTACCCATTTCAATCATTGATTTCGGCTTTACGGCCGAATCGCCTTATCATGAGCTCAAAGTTTTGCCGGAAACATTCTCCAAAACCCGAATAACTTACCGGTTCCAGTTGGATGGCTGCACAGAAGACACAATCAATTCATACGCCGTTGAATGTTTCAAATCGTTCATTGGAACCACGTTGAGAATGGAATGCGACGAAGCAATCGCCAAGAATTTGTCGAAGGTCAAGTTATTCGAGCCAAACACGAGCGTAAACATCAATGAATTAGTGAAGCAGATGATGCCTGGTAAATGTTTCACCATCGATGATCAGAGCAAAATACCACCCCCGATCGGAGACAACAAAGAATTGACGGTGATTGATCACACAAAACTGAAGGAAGGCTACAATTTAATCACGTTTGTCGAGCAATCCATGAATCTTAAATATTACCGACAACGAAATCAAACTCAAAACATTGCCAAGATAATTGAAACTTTCCCACCATACCTACCTTGTGAAGATGAGCTTTGTTTCGTGAAATTTAATGATTTCTGGTATCGCGGCTCCTTTGATAAGAAAGCATCGGATACAACTGCAATTGTTCTAGTGTTGGACATTGAAAAAGGCGTTGAAGTTGAACTGAAAAACATTCGGAAAATTACCCACGATTTTGCGTATGAGCCGCATCTACTATTCTCTGCTGCGCTACATGGCTACGGCAGCAAAATTAGTAAGGAACAAGCCGATGGTTTAATGAAAAAATTCAAAATTAACGATGATGTTCATGTTAAGTCGGTCAGTCTAGATGAAGAAAATTATAACTATTCATTCAAAATTTAAATCTTTTTTTTCGTTATGTTTGAATATTCGTCACGGTCATATTGTATTATGTTTCGGTGAAGTTGAAATATGTTGTAAACGTTTTCTTTTCTAACGTGAATATTTTGTCAATTTGAAAGAAGAAATTATTGAATGTAGAAGAGGAATATGTGTAGGAAACCAAAAGAATTTTCACAGTAGCTTAAAGCTTTATGTTAGAAAGCTTTCAATAGTTCAAAGTTGGCTTTGGTAAGTTTCGAATTCATCGTGTTGAATTTCCCAAAGCTCTTCTCGCTATCCGAATATCGATCACGCATTGCGATATCGTCTCATCATTAACAATGTATTAGAAATCGAGGAAAAGTTTGAAATTTTTTTGTTTCTCATTTGATTTGGATGACGTTGGATTTGTTTGCAACATCAATCGTTTCCAATCAAAACTTTATCGCAGTGATAAAGTGATCGGATTGATCGCATACTGAACGAGTGCCCAATGGTGTCTTATCTGCTTATCTCTGTTGCAATGGCATTGCGTTTTCGAAATACTTCTGGGAATACCTAACAACTTGATGTCATTGATATATGTATACATGTGTGTGTTTTTTTTTGTCGTACGATCGTTTGCATAAATCATTCAAAGTTGCACTAATAAAGTGTAATTAAGCTGACAATCCGTACAAAGTCGATCGATACTTTTCTCTAAATTATTATTTATAAGTAATTAGAATTACAGTCTCAGTTGAGAAATCTAGTGCAGCTGTTTTTTTTTTGCTTTGGTTCGTTTGATTTGCGTGACAGCATAAATTATTATTGTATGTTCATTACAAAATCATCCGATGACGAATGCAGCAAATGAACCGTATGCCTTGATCCAAATTCCGTTTATCACACACAGTTATTCTTATCATAATTCAACTCGAATGCCAGGATTTAAGTGCTTATTGGTTTAATTACAATGTTGAGAACGCTTACGCCAGGTGCTATTTTCAATTCAATTGCTTAATGATAACAGTATGAAACTGGTGTTTATTCGGTATCAACACCACGGCTGATACTTGCATTTGAAATGGCTTTGCGTAACTTTTCCATATTGGAATCAAATCCGCCTGGATTCTAGTTCGAATTTTTTAAACTTTTTTTTTCTCGAATTAAAAAATAACAAACATGGTTCGGATGCGATTAAATCAATATCTAAATGATTTTATTGCGAAATCGAAAATCCATCCGTTTTATTGGAGCGTAAAACCTCCGTGCGCACATTTGCAAGAATCTGTTGTAAAGCCATCGTCCACTGCTGATATTATCGAACGCGTTTGGATCCAAATTCGGTTTTGGATTTGGTTTTCTCGTGATATCGCTGGGCATGACGCAAAATGTTTGTTGTTGAACAAGTGAATATCAACAGCCAACATGGGTGCAGCCAAAGTGACACGCAACGTACCAGAATCATGAGAGCGCGGCGCGTACACAAAACGCAATACACACGCTAATGAGTATGGTTTGAATGGGTAGGGAACAACAGCGAACGGTGAGCAGAGCACACAGGTCTAACACGTTCAATTCCACTCTTTGATCGAACTCAGTTGAGCGCTAGCTACGAAACAATCAACACCATCCGTACGTACGTGTCGTGTGTGTGTACATATCGAAGTTGGTGCAGCGCGCGGAAGGCAAATCCCAGTGTATTTCAAACCAAAAGATCTTTTTTTGATTCTCTTCAGCTTCTTTGCTTTGTTTTGTTTTAGTTTATTGTTTTTCGATCGGCCGTCGTTTGGCTGGTTAGTGTTGCTTCTTTTCATCCATCTACTGTGCAACCAACGCAAACTCTTACCTGGTTAATTCGACTTTGTGTATGCGCGTACTCGATTTGTATGTGAATTTCGTCGATACCTGTATCATAAAAAAATACGAGTGTAACGAGAGTATGCTTTCAGTGAGTGTGATGCAAAAATGAAAGAAAAAAGAAATCATTTGTAATAAATTGATGTGGTCTCTTCGATGAAAAAGTAAAAAAAGAAAAAAAAGTAATATAAAATAAAACATTAACAACAACAGCCGACTGGATTGTGTTACTTATGCCGCGAAGTGTTTTCAAGTATTCGGACAGATAGTTTTTTTTGTGATTCTTCTCTCTTTTATCGGTGTGAGTTGAAGTTTTGAAATCAGATTCCAATCAAAAATCCTAATTGAATTTGCGAGACGATAAAACGATTCGAACAGACATGAATGAAAACGACGAGAATGATCATTAAGAAAACACACACATATACAGATAAATTACGATTTCTACAATAAATCGCTTCTCGGTTCTCAAACATTTTGAAATGAAAAAAACCACAAAGTTGTTGTTTTTTTTTTCATTTCATTTGGAGTGGTCTCTACGAAACAACCGCAATTCACCACATTCTATTTGGAGTGGACGCTAAGCGAAGTAATATCTTTCAAAACACAGAGCTGTGAACAAAAAAGTCAGCTTCAGACACAGTTCATTTCGGAAATGTGCAAATTGCTTTCTAACAGGCGAAATGAAACCAGCTTAAAATGATAATGATTGTGCTATTGCGTCGTGATTGTTTACTACTTAACAGTTTGTGATGGTTGGTGTCGTCAATTCACTGAGAGCTAACCCAAACGATTCGAAACCATTTTAATTTTTCGATTAATCGTGAGATACAAGCGTGCTTCGAATGAATCGGAATGAATTCCATCTAAACCAATAACAATGGTAAAATGAAGACACACACAGGAAAAAAATCCTATCTTTCTTTCACCGCTATTGTTTCATCAACATGGGAATCATTTGTGAAGCCATCGAGCGAACGAAAACCGATTTTATTGACAATCGGCTGAAAGAACATGAGTTAAATGACATTTTTCGGAGCTGTAAATTGATCATGAAACACCAACCTTATATAGAAGAGCTTCAGAATATACAAAGCCACGCACGATTTTGTTTGCATTGGCCCCCCAGCAGCAAATTCATTGTAATCCCATAATGAGAACAGAAAAAAACCAAAGAACAGAAAAGGAATGGGATCGAGCAAGTCAAGCAATCGGAAGTGCGTTTGCGTGGTATTAACAATCATCGTCGACCGCAATTTCAACTTTTCGAATTGCTTCAGTCCATTCACTGTCGTAATTTTTGCCGAAAATTCGAAACGATTCATGTCGTCTAGGCGGTAAAACCAGAAATCAAAACTACGCACTTTATACATAAGTTCCATTAAATCTCTTTGTTTTGCTTTTGCATCGGTTCCATCGCCTCATGGACCGCCTATACACCATGTATACAGCGTTACGATGTAGCTCAATTCTTTGTGTTCTGGTTTTACGTTTAATTTGTATTTTGTAAAGATATACAACTCGGGCTTTACATGGCTCTTTTCTTTCACTCGTTGCGGATGCCTAACTGTGTGGCAGCACACAGAAACTCACTAAAATCGCTGTGAGTGACCGAGCGTCAAAACCACCGCTGGCGCTGTGTCGTAGAATATTTTGTTCTTTTTGCACTGTGTTTGTGTACGGTTGCGATTAAAATCTAAAAGAAAAGAATTGTTGTCTTAGCCCGATACCTCTTTTCTTCCATTTAATGGTTTTTATTCGCTTACAAAAACGCTTTTACGAACCATTTTTCGATCGTTTCTATTATTCGAAAATGATTGGCGCTTTCAATTAATTTTTTCTTGTCTTAGCCTAGAATTATACAATGATTTCGAGTTGCTTAGCGAGTTAACGAAAGATTATTGGGCCCCTTTCGAGTACAACATAAGCTGGCCAATTATCTGACATCCGAAGAAAACAGGGCCCTATTAAATTCTTTTGTTGGCAATTAAATTGAGTCAATCGCAGAATAATTGGAATGCTTTGAAGCAATAGATCTGGGGCCATGTGTGTTCTTTGCCAAGCTGTAGGTAGAAGCAATTTATCGTAATTCCGATTGCGAAACTATACTTATATCTATGTATTTCCATGGAAAATCTCGGTGCAACTTGATGTCTCATCAACGCCGCATGACGATCGCGCGCGCACACCACACACATACATGCATAGTAATCTATGGAAATGACTGTACTTACACTTACCAACCGCTACTTAGCGATTCTTTCTCATTCTGTCGAATGTTAAATAGATGTTTGCCTTGCGAAAAACGTGAATTGGAATACCTACTGAACCAATCTCAAGCCAATGTATTACACAATATTCTATTGATGCCGAGAATTTAGCGATATGGATGCATTGATACTAATTCAGTGTGCTAGTTTTATAAACGCATACGGGCGAGCGCGAGCGCAGGTAGAACATCCATCGAAAATATGTAGAATGCATTTCATAACACGAAGGAAGTGAACGAAACACAAGCGCAGAGCGCTTGCATGTCGTTGTATTGAATCACACACGATAAAATGTCTGACACAGCCGCCAAAGACAGCACAAAGAAAACAGACTACTATACTTGCTTACTGCCACTTTGTTTTCTCCTTCTTCTTCTTCTTCTTCACTGCCATTGTCTGCATTCAGAGTGTGTGCGTGCATTCGCTACTTTTGGCGTTGCGCCCCATAAATTGTTTAAAGTTTTTATTCAAGCCAAATCGTTGTCGTTAAATCAAACGCGCAAACAAAAGCAATACAAACGCAAAAGAGAGTTCATCAACCAAGACACGAACGTCGTACGGCCGCTGAATATTCTTGACTTTGCGATGATTCGTGCATCACGACAACGACTACGACTACAACGACAACTATGACGACGACGGCTATGGTGGAGACGATGAACTGAAATTGCATGTTCGTTTGTGTGGTTTTTTGCACACGGTTTTAATGAAAATGTGCATAATAATTGTCGTTTTTGTCTGCCTGTACTCAACTATTAAGCAAGAAATAAATGAGATTACGGATTACTCATGTAACAATCATGATCAGTATGATTCATGGGTTGTTGCGCGTTGCCAAGTGATGAGTGCATCACCTTTTCTTTCGTTGTCGTATTCTGATTGTGATTTTGTTTTGTTCTGTTCAGCTTTGTTCTATCGTAAGAAGTGATCGCATTTTCAACGCTTCGGTGCATAACAAATACCATGCGCTGTACTATTTCGCTAAATAATGTGCATATTCTTCGACAATTTATCTAATCTGTTGCATTTGTCATTCTTTACCAGTGACTTGTATCATGTGCATTTGCAGTGTGTTATAATTACGACGGAAATCGTCTCCTTTGTTACAACTAAAAAGTGTGAAGGAAACTAAATTTGACAAGATAAACGCAATTATGGATACAACAACACAAGTGACGGATTCAAACTTTGCATTCATCAGGGTAAGTTCTGCACTTTTTTCCACACTAGATTAAGTTGTTTCGTCGTTCAAACTCGATTCAAATCAAAAACGCATTGTTGAGTTGTTCTAAATTGAAAATGTGTAGCTCGTGTTCGTTTCCCACGCATGCATTCAAATCACCTCCGCTAAGATCTTTAATTGAATTTTAATGTTTGCGATGACACACACTCACAAATCTTCGCTTTAACGTTGTTTGCACCGTCAATTATCTGTTTACTCAATTGGGTGTGTTCGGATAGTGATTTCAGATTTAAATATGTGTGATTCAACAATAAGCTTCATTATTTTCATAACATCAGAAGCGAGTGTAGATATGAACACAAACAACGAAATTGAATTAAACATGTTGTTCGCATCACAATCGAAAGTTCGGTGAAAAAACCATTTCACAACCATATACGATCACGCATTTAAAAAATATCCGAATGAAAGGATTCCATTCGAAAATATTTTCGAACAAAAATCAAGTCATTGTTTTCGGTCTTTTTCTTTTTCTATAAGAAGCTGATCAACAAATTTGCACGAGCCAATTATGAAGTCAGACAAACGGAAAAAAGTAAAAATTCCAAACAATCAACTTGGTTCCCAAGGTCAATTAAAATGCTCATAAATATAAACATTTCTATGGAATTTCATAAATGAAAAAAATTGACTGACTAATGTGAAACTAACAGGACCGCAGTGTTCAAATACTTGATTGTTGCGTCCGTGGTAAACATTTCATTTTTCAGTTATATTGGGCTACTGTGAAAATGCACACAGAGTAGAAAACTAATTCTCGACCATTTATTATAATGGGTGGCCAATTGGCCATAAATGAGCCAAAAAATGCGTAATTATAACGTTTCGTCGTTCCTTTTAAATCAGAGACTCTCGCCGTTCCACATTTGCATACTAGATAAAAAGCAAACTTTCAAGTGAGATTCGAACCAACTTTCAATGTATTTTGATCATAATTTGCTTCTTTCTTCTTACTAATTGAGAAGATTTCCAGCCGCTTTCATTTATTCGTAACAATTCCAAGTGATTAGTGTGGCCAAGGTCAGAATCATTTCGTATTGAAATGCAACAATTTCATGGAAATCTAACTACCAACCGGTTACTTTGAACGAAAAAAAAACATGCAGGTGAATCGTGATTGAAACCAGTATTTACCTTCTGAATTAAGCTGCAATTGATAAACCGTTAAATTGCTTTGATCAATGTGCGCGTTTTTTTTTCTCTCCCAGCGAATCCATTACAATCAATCATTTTTCATCATATACAGTTCATTCCACCATTTCAATTGGTTCATTGTGAGCAACAAAAAAAGAATGTATAACAAGCTTTGAAAATTGCAAAATACTCCAATCCAGTCTTTTCAAATTATTGTAGAGAAATATGATAAAAAAAAGACTGCTCGAGTCAATCAATGGAAGTCGCAAAATGCGAACAATTTATTACGCCAAGTAATTTCGTTGCATAGAATTCCTTGATCAATCCAAACTGATCCAACAGCATAGTTTCGGTCAATTTGGAACATGAATTCATTACAATGTTACAACGCTCATTCATGGTTCGCTAACTCAAAATGGTACAAGTTGTCTGATCTTTTATGCTAAGCCAATCAGAGAATTTAAAAACAAAATGTAAACCAAAATGCAAATCTAAAATTAGCGATCAGTTTTCGGTCACCCTTTTTTGTTCATATTTTTGTTACATTAGATAACATTTTCGTAAATATTCAACGAATTTTAACGGAAATTCTTTCGCACGTGTTCATATATTTTTTTCTTCACAGTCGTTACAGAAAGAGAGATCTATTGATTATTATTACATAACATATGTCAGGCACTTGCAGTCGAATATTTACCGTCAATAAACAGTGGGCAAAAAGCACTAACGTATTCATTGGCAAATGCAAATTGCCGCTTTCAAATCGATTTAATTAGATTTCATCAGAAAAATGAATGTGTGAATTTCGTTTTAAAAATCATGCCAAAATGGTATTTTCTTCGATTTGTTGTTGCAAATGCAATTAAAGTGTGTTTGCAATATGTTTGGCATCGTGTGATGGAGAAAAACAAAATTGTTATTCGTAAACACCATTTCGATGCATTACTGATCTCATGGAATATCATGACCTTCAAGAACGTATCACGTTGGACGTGACGGTAACTCGTCAGTTAAAGAAGTTAACGAGTGCTACAAATGATCTTAGAAATGCGTGAATCAAAATCACTTCAGCCAAAGACTCGAGAACGATTATTAGAAAAACCATATTATCTGAGTCAAGCAAGCGTATTGAATCAATGCTCGGCTTAATTTATGTAACATGTGGAGCGCAAAGTCCATTTGATTTGCTTCAAGCATCTTTTCTGTCTTGACCGAAGATAACCTTTGAGCTGTATCTTTATTTACGCAACACCATTGACTCCAAGCTCGACTTGCTTTTGTTTTTTTCACCTTTAATGAATTTTCGACCAAAAGTGCTGAAACTTCTTACGAGAATAGAAAATTTGAAATTCAGACGCCCCGCTTGTATCTCATTAAAATCCATGCACGATCACAATTTGAATAAATTCAAATCTCTCGGAACCAACTGGTGCAAATGAAATGAAGCTTCATTTCCGTAGCGTTTCGGTTTGGCCATGTGTGTATGTGCGGCTGCATGTCGATTTTAATTTCAACGAGACATCATTCGAATCGGCAACCATGACGAAAAAAAATTTATTACATATATCATAATAATCGGTTGGATGTAATCTCAGAGCAAAAAAAAACGTATGCGTTTGTGGACTTTTACTGCATCAAAATCAAAAGCGGAACAAAGTACCCACTAATTGGAGTCGGTTACATTTCCGACGAAAAACGTTCGCTCCATTGTGTTATCATTGTGACAAACGATCAATTTCTATTCAAAACATCGATTGAAACACATTACGTGAATCGATTTTATTTCCCCATTGAAAACATTTTTACATTTTCGATTTCTATCCACATTTTTTTAAATTAAATGGACAAAGCAGTTGACACATTGATTGGTCTTTCGGTCGATAAACACCGAATTGAGGTTGATGACAAAGAGAGCCACTATACATAGCATATGGAGAAAAAAGAGAAATAAACGGAAAAGGCTAAAAAAGGCGGAGAAAATAAAATGAAGGAATTAAAAACAGGTTAAAACGGAGTGAATGCACCCAAAATAAGAAAACAATGAACAAACAAACAGACAAAAATCGTGTCGCTGTGAAAAGCATGTCCGCGGCAAAGAATGTCTCACCATATCATAAAATATTCGTTGGTTCTTAAAATAAATGCCACTTAAAAAGACCTTCCGATAAATTGTCGAATTTTCATTTTGACATTAATTTGTATTCATGTTTACGACGTATCGTCTTCCTGCTTACGACTATATGGAATTGATTCGGAGCTAACATTCCATGCGCTCTTATTATGTTGCCGCCGCCGGACATTTATCCGAATGGCACATTATCTCGTCTTTCTTTATTGCCGTCAGAGAGACACTGTACACTGTACAGAATTAATTAAATCACTATCGCACCGCAGCCAAAGATACAATAAATGCGTACGAAAAAAAAAGTTTCCACTGCGCGGATTAATATTTTTATTCATTCGTATTATTTTTGGACATTTTTTGTTTTCTTTAAGCGCACACAAGAATTGGGTCACTGTGCTTTTTTCACTAAATTTCTTAAGGTGTGTTGTCACAAAAGAACGGATTATGTACTTTTTACGCTGCGCTTTTGTGTGTGCACATGTTAACGAGATCAACAATTCGGTCAAAAAAAGAATCAGGTGATAAGTCGCTTGGGAGAATGACAGAAAAACAGTCGAAACGTAATAATTTTACGACCCGTTCGCTCTTTTCTCCTTTCGATTAACTCTGAATCACATCAGATATTTTTGGAATCCAAAATGATGTTTCTCGGCCCGAATAAAAGTCCATGTTTAGATTTGCAATCTTAATTAATTAATCTCTTTCGTCAACAAATCATAGCAATCTACTCGATGGAGCATGCCATTCTGTCTCTTTCATCTTTTCATCTTTCTCTCTGCTCTCTGTTAGCATGAATGGTTTCTTCTGGTTTTATAATCGCAGATAATATGTCAAAATTGCAAAAACATCGACAGAAAAAAAGCAAACGCGATTCGCAGAGAAAGCTCATTATTCATTCGAATAAACGCCACATTTTACGCATGTCGGTGTCTTTTGACCGCCGGACTTTCCACTAGCCTGGCTCAATCAATCTATTAGCTTTGTTTTCATATTCTGCGCACAACAATCTAAAACTAATTTCAGCGCCGATACATTTCTGCTGGACAACAACACAAAAATACCAATACAAACTCAATACACTCACACGTCTGCTTTTTTTTTTACTCAAATCTCTTTTCGATTTGAAGTGAGAAGCAAAATGTTATAAATTATCCACACAAAAAAGCGCGAGCTATTGAGAATCGAGACTAACAAACGAGAGAAGCAACAGATGCAAAGAGAAGAAAAAAATCACGCAAAACAAATGAAACAAATGAACGAAAATGGGTACATTGTGAACAAAACCGCGAGCAAAATTTCTTCACTTCAATTTAATATAATATGTTTTTAATGCAGCGTAAAAATGCGGACGTCCAATGTACACGTCGCCGTCGTTGAGCAATTAATTCATTGGCACTGGTCACAGTAAATACAAAACAACGCCGACAATTACAAATAAATAGATCCGATTTTGTTGTTACTCGGTGTGTCTGTTTGTGTGAGCGCGATCTCTCGAAACTCACCACAATCGAACACGGGCCAATCAACTCGGAACGAGGAAATCTTGATACAATTTAGCGCAGAAGTAAAAAACCGAAAATCAAACCATCATTTTCTCGTTCGGCTGGTCAATGTTCACCAAAATCGCCAACTCGATAATTTGCTCACGATTATTCGAAGCAATTCGAATCCACATTACGATTGCTTCAAATTGCCATTGTTTCCGATTTAATTGTGGTTTGAGGTTGCCCATATTAGAATGATTTGAGGCCCAACGAGTTTTTTCTACTTCTACGGGCGTGATTTAACACGAACAATTTTCGAACGAAAGTGTTTGTGACAAGGAAGGCGGTGACATCGCGCATTTCGATGAATAACCCTGAAAATCGACTTTCAATTTTGTCGGTTTCGCTTCATTTAAAATACACTGGCGTCCAATTTCTCTATGTCATTTTCTTAGTTCCGTAGAAGAAGAAAAAAAAAAGAGGAAAACCCGAAAGTTTTCAAACGGTTTTATTTATATAAGTAAATTTCGCCATTTGATCGAGCTTATGTGATGCCAATGACGTTGAACGAGGTATTTCTAGAGATTTGATGCGCAGCATTCATTCGAATACAAAATGAATTCGATTGGCCAATTTCTTATGCGCATGGATTATTTATGGATGGTTTGGTTTGGTTTGGTTTGGTTGGATTGGTTCAAAGAAGAAAAAACGTGACATCATTGCACTGTTTTTGCGGCTGCATCAGGTCGAAAGCCTATAATTTCTTAAATGGGTCGATGACAACAAATACTCGCTATTCATGTAAAAGAAAAATATTTGTAGAAAATCACACATCGTCGCAATGTATGAAAACCAATTGAATGCAAAAAAGGAAAGGCAAATAAAACACGTTGTTGATTCTGCGCCATAGGTTTTTGTGCATGCCAAACATAGCATAACATGTGCGCGCGCTCGTCACATTGTCGCGCATCCATACATGCGGATTCGAAGTACATTGCTCTGTGCATAAACCACCGATTTTGCCACTAAACAAGCAAAATTGTTGTAACTTAATGTATTTTATGTGCCCATCAAGCAAACTTGACGATAACTCTCGAGAGAGGAAGAGAGAAGGAGATATTTCACATATTTTCTGTACAATTAAATATTTCTTTTTCTCCGGCAAATTGGTAGAAAGGCAGATTTATAATAATGATTGACCGAATGACACATTTAATCAGTAATATTTGTACAATTTCTTTTGACAGGGTTCTGGAGGAAAAAATGCCAACATAAACCCAAACTACAGTGTACGTGGAAAGCTACAGAATCGCCGATGCAAACTCAACAAAGAGATCAATAAAGAGTTGCGACTACGTGCCGGAGCTGAAAATTTATACAAAGTAAGTATTGTGTGTATAGCTAGTTATATACACATCTAGAGGTCATCATCAATCGCATGACATTCCATTGCGGCATCGCGTGTTTCAAATGTGTGATAATCAAATATGGTCCGTCGTTTGGTGTGGCATGCGAGTTTGCATATGCAAATGTGGCAGCAATCATCATCATCAGACCAACATCTATGCGTAGTCCCGAAAATACAGAGAAAAAAAACTGAATCAAAACATCACTTGGTAAAAGTATCCAGAAGCGGTTTTGATCTGGAAATCACATTTTTGGACATTTATTTATATAGCCTTATCAGTGAACGGTTACACCAGCAGAATTGACATAATAGCAAAAAAAAACTGGTTGATGAAAAAATTATTACGTTAGAGATGTTTTGGTGTCTTCAGATTGAAATCAATACGAAACTGGTTGAATCTTGGAAAAGAGAACGCCATCGGTTTTTGCTGTGCTGAGGCAAAAAAAATACAAATCGAAATAGAGTTAGCGAGAACCACGCAGAGCCATTGAGAACAATGGCGAAAAACGAAAATAGAGGGAAACAAATCAAGAACAACTCAATCCGTTAAGTCTATCAAGCTATGGTTATGATATGAATTGTTGAAAGAAAACAATCAAGACGAATCCATTAATGATCGATTCAGAATAATTCGCGGTTCAGCTGACTCGATCGGAATCATTGTTCATTTGAACAAAGCGATTACGATTGGAGCGAATGATGCCGCGATCGACTGAGCGAAATGAAGCATCATGAGTAAAATATGAAAAAAAATGTCGCTATTCATTTCATCATAAAACCAAGTTTGATTTGCCCATATTTTTGTTGTTTGACAGGCTTTTTTTTATTGATTCATAAAAGAAAATGAAATAAAGCCAAGTGACACAGATATCGATAGAACCGTATCATGTGTTACAAATTTGTAATGCCATTTTGTCTATTCACCATTCATTATCTTGATTCTTCGGTCTCAAGATGTCAATAGTGTTGTAGCTGTTATTAGAAATATGTCACTCGTATCTTACCTACAATTTTTTGTCATAAGCTCAGCAAGGTAGAATTACCGCTAAACCACATTCTTCACCATATAAGACTTTTATTGATGGCATATTTTTTTTGTTATTGTCGCGAGCCGCATTTACGTTCCTATTTTCTGCACGTGAAATGAGCCATATTAAACTGTCGTCAGATTGGTGTTGTTGCGAAAGCTGAACACAGATTGCGACTAGAACGTAGAAAAAATGCAATCATAATGCGAGCGCCTTAGTTCGGTTTTATGTTCAAAGGCCGTTGAATGTGCCTTCGAAATGCCACTATCTTGAGTATGTGTGTATAGGATTAATTACCATTGGATCTCTCCAGTGCTCTTGGTCGTTGCGTTCGTGCATGTGCTTGTAATGTTGACTTCTTGTATGAAATTAAATTTCACATTTAATATGCAACGCTAATGATGGCAACAACAAACGACAACTACAACGATTCGACGAGAAAACTTGTGTTCACTTGGCGTGCAATAGTCACCTTTTTCCACTTTTAGAATCTCTTTTTTCCGCAATAATTATTATGAATATACTTTCCATTTTGTATTGGCATCATCATTACCTTTGAAATCAGTTCAGCGAGATCACATCCAGTCCGGAGCACAGTCGAAGTAAATTGCAAACACACTCTCGCAACTAATCGTATGACATTCGTCGCGCTTCACATTTAATTACGGCAAATCATTTACTCCATTCTTCTTTTTCATTTTTTTCGTCGTCGTATTGATTCGCCAAACATGGCGTGGTGATATAATTAGCCATCTAATTCATCCGGAAATCAATTTTATGTGCTCATTATAAAATGAGACCCATTAAAGTGCATGTAGCAAATCAAACTTGATCTAAAGCCTTGCCTCAACACTTCGCATTTCGAAGAGACGCGTTGAACGATTTCAAGAAAATTATTCGCTATCTAGGTTCCGGGGAGAGATCGAACATCAATTTATCATTGTCACTCAGACACATACACACATCTACACCATTTACAGGCAAAATCTTAATTGATTTTACTATTGGTATTTCCTTTAAATTTTATTCACAGGCCACTGAAAATACGAAAGTGAAAAATCGAATATCACTCGAGCTCAGTTTTGTCAACTCCAATTTGCAACTGCTCAAGGAGAAACTATCCGAATTGAATTCATCGGTAGAAATTTATCAAAATGATAGCCACGAAGTTATTATGCCATTTATACCAATAGGATTAAAAGAAACCGTCGACATTAATTTTATGGATACGTTTTCGGAACGGGTAAGTGTCCACTGATGTTGAAACCTTATTAAAAAAAAAGCATAAAGAGAAAGAAAAGAAAAAAATAAGATGAGACAAAAACGCTTATTCACAAATTGGATTCGTTTACACAATTAGATAAGAGACCATTACAACGAAGAGCCACACGTTTATGCTGATGCAATTAGGGATATAACAGATACAAGAGAAGTTGCGCGCACACCATCGAGAGATGCAAATGGAGTCAATTTAATATTCCGCTACTATAACCTTTTGTACTATGTCGAACGGCGATTCTTCCCATATGGTGAGTCTTTCAACCAAGTGATCTACTTTTTATGATAGGCCCAAAACGTTGAAAATTGCAAATTTTGGATTTTAAAATGACACGCTAAAATATTGCCTATATTACGAACTCATACTTTGAACGATTTCGAGATCAATCACAGCCAATTTTAAACTTTTTCTTTTATTGATCGATTTCACGAATTTAGCGACAAACTATTTTTTCTAATTCAATAAGCAGAAACAATAGATAAAAGCGAAAAATGTTAATGTTTCATGAATATTAATTTGTTGAATGCGGCTTAAGCGTGTCGAAATCGAAAATAAATTGCATGATTTATTTTCAATAATTTGATTGTCAACTTTTAATCTGATAAGCGATTTTTTCGTCATTGTTTTTATCGTCTTGTATTTTAGATCGCAACGGTGTCTACTTCGAGTGGTATGACTCGTTAACAGGTGAGTTTACATTAGACAATTCGAATTTATAAATATTTATGCATATGATGGCAACGTTTTTCGTTATCGAATAACGTGTTAAACTTTCATTTCGTTTCATTCATCATCATCCTTCTTGTAAATCATAAAATGCAAAAAAATACCGGTTTCCATGTAAATTTCGCATTTTTTCTCTTCTTCTCTCTCCCTCTCTCGCTCTTCGTAATGGTATTTAAAAATAAAATATAATTTCTTCATAGGTGTAGACAAGATAGTAGTGTGTATTTTGTGTTGTTACTTAAATATTTGTTTTTTTTCGCTTTTTCTTTCGTTTCATTTTGGTTTTTGCCGTACGTACACACACACACACACACACAATACACATTTTCGCAGGTATTCCATCAAGCCAACGAACTGTTGCATTTGAAAAGGCGTGCATTCTGTTTAATTTGGCCGCTGTATACACACAAATCGCCACAAAACAAGATCGTAGCACGGAAAAAGGTCTTGACATTGCTGTGGTAATTAATTATTATATTTGTTGTGATTTCTTTTGATCGTACATTCGAATCAAGTTGGAAAACGAAGAACCAAAGCAATATTTCTGAACTAACGATAATTCCATAATCAATTAGGACAATTTTTTGCGTGCTGCCGGCATATTCAAACACATTTACGAGACATTCACAAATGCACCGTCCATCGACTTGAAACCACAATTTTTGGAAATACTTGTCGCTTTGATGCTGGTAATGAGAGAATAAATTTTAAAATGAAAAAAAAAAAATCAACGCACATTATGTCTAATAAACCATATTTTTAATCATAGGCACAGGCGCGCGAATGCCTCTACGAAAAGCTACTCTTGCAAATTGAATCGTTTTCAATACCAAACAAAAATCATGTAAGTGAAAGTAGTTGCACTGCACAAAACAATGAACAGCACACCGCAAAGAAAAGCCACGATCACGGTTTTGTGTATATACATATACACTAATAATAATGTATGAACACGTTACCAGCGAAAGGAAAGTCGAATGGGATGAGAGCAGAGCGCGCGCGCAACAAAAAGAGACGGAAGAAATAACGCAACCTCATTCAATGAATTTTTAATTATTTTTATGATATTGTTAATCTCAAGTTACTATTTGCAATTGTTATTGCCGTACCGCGTTGTCGTAAGCCATCACTTGTTGCGATGTGTACACCGTACTCGGCGCACAAGAGCTTGAGTGTTTACACTGAAAATGATCTTGATATTGTTTGTTAAATTTGTATTTGTTTTGAAGCGTTTCTTTCTCTTTCGAACTCACGCGCGTACGCATAAGTCAAACATACCGAGCATGTGATTTAATGAATTCGCTATTTTCTGCTGTGTGAATCACATCATGATTCAGTAAATTAATATTTAGCGTGTGAACCATTTTGATGGTTCGTTCAACGGTTCACCTGTACGAAATGGAAGAAATAAAATGAGAGAAAGAAAGAAAGAGAAAGAAATAATCAAATTACACTTAAGCGCAATCGTTAGTTAGTACATTCTAGCATCGAACCGATTACATTTTGCCAATTTTCACGTGCACCAACATGTGCAATTATAATGAGCCGATAAACATATCCATAAAATGAACAATAATTACCCTCTCTGTTAATAGTACTTTTCTCACCGTGAGTGATTTATTCATACCCGTCCATTTCGTTCGTCTATTCAGATTGACTATCAGAGAGATCTATCGGGCGAATGTGCACAGCTAATGCTAGAATATAACAAAATTCACACGAGCATCGACACCGAATGGATGCACACCTACATTCCAGAATGTTGGGCTGCATTTGTGCCACTCAAAGCAGAATATTACAAAGGTGCGTATAGCTGTAATAATTACACTCTATCGATGGGCTTGAATCAGATTCATCAATGTTGTTTTTTCTGCTGCTGCTGCTGCTGTAGTTGCTAACCACAATGTTAGTTTTTAATACACATATTTGTAAAGCTTAGATGGTTACGGGATCTATTAGATAACCTTGAATCTACTTACACAAAATTTAAGTGACAAAATTAATTATCGTCATGCGAAAGATTACCACAGAAACTTGATTGTTAGATGTGCGCGGCGCAGAAAATTCAATGAAAAAAAAAACCGAACAACTCCAGTTTGTTTGACACATTACTTGCAATAAATGTTGAGCAATAATGATTCGCCAAACGAGACGCAATTGTTGCGAAATGTCAACAGTGTGGCATTAAATTTGATGTTGAATCTAATAAAGCGATTTTCGGTTACATATTCTACAGCATTGGCTCACTACCACGCAGCAATCAGCATCGACATCAACAATACCAAATCGCATGAGAACAGCAAACGAGATGAATTCCGACTCAACAACAACAATTCGTTCGCATTAAGTGATCTAACCAATGACACCGATGTCAATCCATGTGCCCTCAAGAAAGCGCACATTAAGGAATCCGTTGCTTGTTACGAGGAGGCAATGCGATTACAACGAATGAGCCGAGATTTAAAAGTAAATAAACTTTTGGATCGAAACAAATGTCGAACCAATCTTAAATGTCGTTCATTTTTCTTTTGCCAGAACAAAGTGTCATTAACGAAAATTCTCAAAGAAAGCAACTTGAAGGCAATGATCGAGTCAGAATGCATTGGAGAAGAGTTGAAAGATAATAATTTCAATGAAGACGATACATTTGATATGATTGACGTCACCGTTACACCATCATCTAAATTCATTCTCTCACTTACCGATCCGGATTTTACGGCTTATAAGGTATTTATATGCCACCATTGAGGCTCGTCTCAACATTTTCCTAAATATCAACATTTCATCAATTTCGATCGCTTTTTCAAAAAAAAAAAAATATAGATTGACGATCCGTTCAAGAAACTGGGACCATTGGCGATTTTCTCAGCGAAAAGACATTGGACTGTGCCACGAAGTGTATGCTTAAAAAAGGCTTCAAATCAATCGAACATCGATTCGGACAATGTGGTCAACAGTTTGATTCGACCATCAGACTACAGTAGCGAAAGTGCCAGTAGCAGCTCCAGTGTGGTCAGCGACACCAGCGATGGTCTGACACTGAGAAATTTGAATCGTCGCAATATGGAATTTGCCGACGAATACGGTTTCAAATTGCGTGGCGATTCTCCAGTTATAATATCAGTCGTAGTCCCAAATTCATTGGCTGATGTAAGTCTATCTAATGAATAAGAAGATTAATTCATTGTTGAATTCATAATTGCGTATTTATTTTAGCTGGGCGGACTCAAAGAAGGTGATTTTATTGTGGAATTATCTGGCGTCGATGTGAAATGGTATACGCAACACCAGTTAGTCAAGCTCATTCAGAACTCAAAACAGAGTCTCGAACTCAAGGTCATTACGCCAATCGATCGAAATTACTTGAAGGTGGGCAATTTACAGTTGTTAGCTCTGAAAATAAGAGAATAAATTTGATGATTGTTATTTTCTCACTGTCTCTCTCTCTCTCTCTAATTTAGCCTTTGCCAACCACATCACCATCACCATCAACACCAAGTACTACCACATCAAAATCATCAATATCAGCCCGATCGACTGGATCAGCTGAGCATCGGACGAAGAAAAAAGTCTCAAGCGATAAGCAAATTAGCAGCTGGAAATTGTTTCGGCGAACACAAAGCTTGGGAAAGTTGTTCTGAACACCCATGCATATTTTAAACATCTCAAAACAAATAAGTAAGAGATAAGTAAATAGTAAGTAGATTTTGTACTAACAATAAGAACTCTCATACAAAACAGAGAGAATAATGTAATAATATCTTGCTATAATAAAGAGAAGCTAATGATAGGTTTATGTGGATTTTTGAAAAACTCTGCTATTTCATTTTATCGAGTTCGATTTTTTTTAAATTTCGTGTTCGTGTTCGTTCGGGTTCGGTTCGAATTGTTCGAAACAAAATAAGTTATGTTCGTGTTTGTTTGAGTTCGATTTCGATTTGTTTTGAACTGTTCGAGTTCGATTCAAGTATTTCGAATGTTGAATGTAAGTCATACAATCACAGAGTTTCACAGCAGGTCAAGTCTCCTTACTGAAATGCCGAGAAATTCACACATTACAAAACCATTCTCGGCCAACTATAGTTGCTGCGAAACTTCACTGGTTCTTTCTCGGCAATGGGGAGAATGCATGGTATTGTCACCAAGTATGTGGCAGAGGTCGCAAGCGGGCCGAAAAATTGGGCCGAGGCCCGCCCGAATCACTTCAAAATGTGACCGAAAACCGCCCGTCGCCCGCCCGAAATTGAAAATTTTGCCCGATTCCCGAAAAACCCGGGCTGCACGGAATTTTCGGGACTCGGACGCCCGTCGGGCAGCGGATAATCGCAGGGCGGGTGGACTCTGGTATTTTCGGGACATATAAACTATTCAAGAAAAACTCGCCAACAATTTGGACATATCTTCAACGATTAGACGAAATAATATTAGCAACATAGAAGAAACATCGATATTACAACTGTGAAAACGGTTCCAAATTGAAACTAGCAATGAGTGCAGGTCGTCCTTAGAAATACATTCAATTCATAAAACTATTGAAAATTGAACGATTTGAAAATTTCGTCGATGAAAAAATTTAGTTGATTTGTTCCCTTCCGTCGTCGTCTCTTGAGTTATGTGCTGGGTTGGCATATTTACGCAATTTTTAAGTCGCGCATGTAATTTACGTAAAAAACTGTAAATTACGTTTTTTTTTTACGTGTAAAAAACCTCTTGGATGTAAAAAACTGCTAAATTAACAAAACTAGGTAACATGTGAATTCATACGGGAGAGAATTTATTTGAGGCGGTGGAAAAGTCGATCGCTATAGCCAAAGAACGGTATGATGCCACAATTACTTCGGTTTTGACGGATAATGCATACAGTATGCAAAAGAAGGGAAAAGCTTCAGCACTTTTGTTCAATGCAAATTTTGTCCCATCAGTTAAAAAATTGCTTGGATTGCTCGATCCGGTGGCTGAACTCACAAACTACTGTCAAAGAAGCGATATCTCAGTGCAGATGTCGTTGAAAAATGGTTAAATTTAATTGTTGTCCAGATTTGTGTAGTTTTTTGGACTATCGTTGCGAGTAAAGTAAAGTGTTAAACATTGTTACGATGACGGCAAATTATTTGCATCCAGTATATCGCGGTGAAAAATTGAATCAAGAACAGCAAAACGAAATGAAAAACAACATTCTTGAACAGCTCGTTTGCGATGAAATTTCTGAAAATCCCTACATCGACAGCGCAACTAGAACGGCTTTTCTCCAATTGGGGCTATGTTCATAATGACATCAGATACAGGCTCTCGGTTGATACATCAAAGAATCTGGTCAACATTTATTTTACGCTGCGATTGAATGATGATTGATGAATTATATGAAGACGACGATATCGACGATTGGAATATTGTAAACGAGAGATGAAACCAAACCTGCGACAACGATACATACTACACAATTTTCATTCATTTTTGATTCATCAGTTATGTTTATGTTAATCTTTTGCATTAGAAATAAAAATGTCCGAGAAAGTCTGAAATAAATTCTAACTTTTTTATATTATATCCAAAATCCAATTTGGTTTTTTACATTTTTTACACAATTCACGTAGAGAATTCCGAAATTTTCATGTAATTTACATCATGTAATTTACGTAAACGAAATGTAAATTACATGCTTGAGTTTTTTACATACCAACCCTGGTCATGTGCAATGCACATTGTGTGCACTTCAAGTGGACAATTTGCATATATATGAAGAATTCTCGACATCATCTTTTGACCGAAGAAATTTTCTGTTTTGCAAATTCTAGACATGGTATTGGTTTCAATGAGTTCTGTTGGCCCATAGGAACTCTTTCAATCCATTGAACCATCATAAAAAAGTGTAATTCAAAATTTCGTTGAAAAAACTTCAAGTCAATTTAGTAACCCACCAACACACGCGCACATCCTCTTTGCTCTATATTCGCTTGAATTTCTCGGCATTTCAGTAAGATATCAGACAGATTTATAGTTAGATATGAAATTTATTTCAATTATTCACGAACCGAAATTTCTGTTTGTTCGTGTTCGGTTCGAACAAGCAAAATATGGTTCGTGTTCGTTTTATGTTCGATTCGAATTGTTTGAATCAAAAGAAAATCGTTCGTGTTCGGCCCAAGCTCGAACGAACTCGAACAGTTCGTGTTCGTGAGCAGCTCTATTATCTATTTTGGACCAATCCATGACTCGTCTCGATATCGGACGAATGGGCAGACATATTCGAAAACAGACCATTGATTTGAATTCTACAATTTATCTACAACTTTTTGGACCCATTCTTCATTCGAAAAAAAATCGATTTGTGGAAAATACGTTTTTGGACCAAGATTTGAGTTGTCCCATTTTACAGCAGTTTTTCAAAAGCCGATTACTCAAAAAAATTATTAATAAAAAAAAGTAAAAACTCTACATTAAACTACATAAAATCTACAATTGAAATCGCCCTACCCGAAGTCATTTCGGCAAATCTTCTAAGATTTGAATATCCATCTTTCAGATTGAGTCAACCATCGTCCATCAAAATCATTGATGCATTGAGTAAAAAAGAAACGAATTCATATGTACAAATTTTAATAAAAAATTTATTCATTAACTGATGTTATTCATACAAATATAGTTTTTTTTTCTTGTTTAATAAAAGAACCTCTTCCGACCACATTGATTTAGTTCAACATTTCAAATCAGTATATTTGAATAGAAAATCGAATGTGTCCTACAAGATCGTTTGGCGACAATTTTTTTTAAATCTGTTTTATTGTTTGTTTGTTTATTTCTTTGCGAACATTTGATTTGATTCTCGACATTAGAAGTAAGCCAAAAATAAGGAATCCATATCCTTCTCTTCTCTACTACCAAATGCTTTCGTTATAAATAAGTGTGGGCGAAAGTTTCTTCTTCCCACGCAACGAAGAAGAAATCAAAGCAGAAACTGAAGTGAAACACGTGAACTATGAAACGATCATGTCGTTGATAGAACCACCAGCCGAAGTGGAGTTAGATGCATTCAAATTGGCCTGTTTTAATGTTTCGTTTACGTCACGACGGAAGAGTGATAAGTTTTGGCTGAATCTAAAATCGAGGTAAACGTTACTCAGTGTTCTATGAGGTTTCCATTTTTTTCTTTTTTTGTTGACTTACTTATCGCGATTTTTCATAGACAAATTTCGCTCAACATTTTCCATTAAATTATCGAACCAGTGAGATATCGTCTGTTGTTTGTCAATGGGCTGAGACCGGATTATGTTTTCCTTCATCGATCTGTAATTCATAATAAAATTAGTATCTCTTCCAATCATTGGGAAAACCGACGCAAGAAAACAAACCTGAAGTAGTCTTCGTACAACAAAATCAATCCAAGCAACGGTCTCGACAGTGACCATTGATTTTTGCAATCTTCAAACATAACGATGTTGATGATTGTAGATAATATGCCCTGAAACGAAGTTTTTATTAGCAAATATCAGATTGGATTGGATGGTGACCAAAATGTTTGGTAATCTCTGGTAGTGTATGCATTACCTGTAGAATTTCTGGATGCATTTCAATAACTTTCAAAAACATATCATTGTCTGGGTTGATGACGTTACGGCGCATTTTTTTGGTCGGGAATGCTGCAAACAGAAAGAAATGTATGGAATTTGATATGGAATAAATAGATTCCAAGGTATTTGTAAACTTATAAACACAGCTAGAGAGTTTACCTTTGATCGATAATTGCTTAAATATATGCGAAACGATATTGTCCAAAATGGAGCAACAGCCGGTGCAAATTGTCGTATCTATTCATCACGAATTAAAAAGAAAAGTATCGTTATTAATAGAATGTTTTTCATCTTTTAAATAATAATATTCAAAGAGAATAAAAAATGATCCAACTAAAGTGAAAGCTAGAGTGTGTGCGTGAAAACGGTGAAGCGGGATTTAGCCCATTAGAATAGCAAAAATAAAAAATAAGCAAGCTCAATAGAAAAGGATTATAAGGAAGAGCGCCGTTCGGTAAATCACCTGTAGCATCGGAAGAAGTTAAATTCGTCATACCTTCAGCAGCCAAACCCTCTGATATACTCTTAATAATGTACAAAAATATTGCTGGATCAAGTGTTGATAAGAACGTCATGTGATCTTGTGCCAAACACTCAAGCAGCAAGAAATATGATTGTGACAATTTTGGATAGACCTGAAAGCAGTGCAAGTAAGTTGAGTGAACGATAGGCACCGTTTGTCTAATATACAAGTCTTCATACCAATAAATCCGTCTGTGGAATGGTAAGGATGAGTTTGGTTGTTACATCGAGTACATTGTCCAATGTTTCGTCACCATATAATTTGCATACACCGAAATTGACGTAATTTCCTGATAAAGCTGCTTTAAGCATTGTGAAACAAATCGAAATACCCTTCAAACGCATCGGGTATAACTGATTTTTGGGCACATCAAAGTTCATGATTCGATTACCTGAAAATAGAAGAAATATTTTATTGATAGGATTGCGTTCACTTTGAATATCGATCGATCTCTTACCATAGGTACAGATGACCTTTGATGCTTCACGAAATAGCAAGATACCGTTTGGACTAGAAATATCAAATTGTAAACGCTGTGATCGATTTTGAACCAATTCGGCGAACCTGGGGACAAATATTATTTAGATGATCAACAGTATGCGCTAATTTGCATGTATTTCAATGTCTTACAATTTTAGGATTGGCGTCGTAACCTGTGGATCATGTGGCCACAATTCTATTGCTCGAATTAAAATCGGCGTGTAGTCTGGGTAACTGCAAAGTGTAGGCATCGGTTAAGTAAGATGGTACATCAGCTATTTTCATCTGAAGCTTCAAGTGAAAATACTTACATCCAGTCGAAAAACATCATGTAGGCATTCTTCTTGCTCGAAGAAAAGGTAAGACCGCGCAAATCCCGTGACAAACCAATGAGTGCTTTTTTCGCCTCTTCACTTGGATATGTGCTTGTATCCATGATAGCACTTCCGATCGATTCGAATTGATCTGTAGATGAAATCAGTTGAATTAATTAATCCACATACAGAAAGTTTTAATAATTTCAGAAGAGTAATTTTTGCTGTGAAGGCACTTACTCGTCAATGGTAACATGAAATTGTAGAATCGTTCCTCATCCTCTCCCAAATCAACCATCAACAATCTACCGAGTGACGTGTAAAACATACTACGGCATCTCATTTCACTAATGGCAACGTTACTACCCAAAAATGAAAAGTGCTCACTCTGCAAATATGTTTTTTTTATTCGAATTAATTTTAGTTTCCATTTCATAAAAACCAAAAATGAATATGATGCTCACCGTGTGATTATTGAGCAAGAACTGGATTTCTTCCAATTTGACTAGTTTCCGTACCCAACTGTAGCTAACGGAAAGTTCGTTCAAAAGATTCAACGTCTTTCGGATAATAATCTCCGAACGTCCCCAGAATTTTAGATTGGTTATGCTGCGAATAATAGGGAAAAATCAATGAGTTTCGACAATCAATTCGACATGAGTGAAATAAATCCAGCTTACATTTTACGGTTGATAACACTTAACAACATTGGTTCATCGTTGATGCCCAACAGTTCGGAGAGACGTTTGTAGATTTTCATCTTTTGCATTTGTTCGATAATATAAATTTTTCGAATATGATCTGAAACACGCATTGTCAATCAGATGAATAAATCTTTAATGTTTTTGTTCATAAAAAATTCATACCCAAAAATGACATCATCGATAATTCGAGCTTTTCACAGCCAATTTGTGGTAAACGTGAGTCGGTCAAACTCATCAATTGTAGTACCTGAAATGTAAGTGTTCATTGATAAAGTCTCGTGAGCCAGTTGATGAAAATTGTGTTGAAAATCTTACTCTAACAACTAAGTCCCCGTCGAGGATGTCGTGTTCGTCGTTAGCGGTAAATGTCATGCGACCGCCAATGGCCGCTCCAATTATATAAACTAACCAGGTCAATTGTGCCTCATGGATCGCAATCTCAATAGGATTGTTGACCGGGTTGTTGAGTAATTCTTGGTATTCACTTGCCGTCTGCAATAAAAATCTGTATTAGCTCATTGATACCATCGAAGGTAGTAAGACTGCTGATACCTGATCAAAGGTGTGTATCACAAAGTTACACGTTTGCTCGTATTCACATCGAACAATGACTGACAGCTGATCTAGCTGCTGCTGAACCATTGCCAGGTCGTCTAGTGGGTCTTCTAAACCATCACGAACGATGATTCGTGCTGAGTCCAAGCGTGACGTAATGTACGCTTTTGTCACTTCAGGAGTATATGCATCCAAATGGTGTGGCTCGACAGCACGCACATATGGGATTGAGGCAACCATTCGTTGCCACAGCGACAGTAGATAATGGATGCTGTTTGGCGCGAACTGCCACATCTGAAATTATTTCGATTATCAAAAAAGTATTGAAAGAAATTGACAGCAGTATGAAGAAATACGTGTATCACGCAAGGGCCACTCACTTGCAATGATTGAATGGTAAATTTCGCAATCAGTTGAATAACTTCGGGGTAACACTCAACAACAACAAGTTCACTTAGTTGGTAATTGGTCTTAAGACGGGCTAAGAGTCGGCAAAATTCATGGTAATTATCTGAATCACTGAGTCCTTGAGAGTTTTCGAGAATGTTCTTAATGTTAACAACCAATGTGCTGAGGAATTTCGCTCTTTCCACATTGTTGAACAACGATCGGCGCACAGAGGTGATCTGGACCAGTGTGGAGAGTGCCAGACTGGACAATCTCGACGGCAACATGTGATACAAATCGAAGAACAGATTCAAATAATTCAAGTCAAGGAATGCCGGCCTCCAATTGGTCGGAATCTGTATGGTCGAAGAATCGTCCGTTGTTTCATCGTTGGATGTACCAATAAAATCGTAACTTAAGCAATTTTTCGTCAAACGAAGTATTTGGTTGATGAGACTGAAAAGCAAAAGGAAAATTGCATCAACACATGAAAAATTTTGCTGAATGGAACGTATTTGCTTACCCATGCTGTTTTTCGTCCATAAAATTCAATGTTTTGGCGTTGTCGCGAGCCGTCATTAAGAGTGTACACGACAGAATGTAAATGTCATACAATTGTGTGTCCCGAAATGAATAAACGGTCTTTCTGTGTTTAATATACGAAATGTTCACATCGACCTCCGGTTGGTTCATTTCACAAGTCAATTGTGACAATATCTGCACACCGATCATGCAATGTTCCACCGAACCCTATCGAAACAAAACAAATTAATACAAATGAGTCACATTTTCACTCCGCATAGAAAATGCGGCCGATAAGTTTTACCTGGAGAAATTTCCGCACATCTTCGATGATGTTCCTAAACACCATTTCGTCTTTATGGCAATAAAACCAGCCGTATTTTGTAATCTTGGCTAATACAGTGACTAAGGCTTGAATGACAAAATTTTCCAGATTTGGTCGGGTTGCCAAATAGTTGAGAATGTAGTTTCGGATGTCGACAATCTCTTGTAGTGACAATCCTTGTGCATTTTTCGCAATGAGTTTTGTGAGCGTCGTTGCAGCCAGCAATTGTGAATAGCTTGATTGCCCACGGTCCAACAACAATTGACATTTTGGCAATGCGTCTGGGCTGTTTTGGAATGCAACTAACACCTTTTCAGCTTCATTTCGAGTGGAGTTTTCTCCCTCATACATTTGCTTGCACATCAGCTCCAGCTGAATCACCTCCTGCTGTTGTGTGGAAACGAGAAAAAAAAACAAACAAAATTCATTGATTAATCAATTCAATTCAAGTTGAAGCTAGTGTCATTGAACGGGGTGTGCATATAAAAAGAAGGCATTGATTGATCAACATGACAGTTCTTGTCGTGGTTATGTGCACTGATATCAGCTACTATGAAAATCATTTCAAAATACGTTCCGAATTTCGGTGGTGATACGACATTTATTTCATAATTACTTCGGTGTAATTGCCACTTGAATCACGAATTTTGACAATAGATAAGGTTGATCTTAATTATTCGTTATGAAAAAAAAATCCCAATGTGCAATCCCGATCTGATAGAAATATGCAAAAAAAATGTGAAACATAAATTAAACCGCAATTGCTTTTGATGCAATTTATGCTTCTGAACCATATTCGACGCATATTTTTATCTTTTGCACCGGCTCATTGGATGGTATTGCAAATTATAAAGGAAATTTTTATACAAACCATTGTGCTGTCCATGATGATATTTTGACTGCTTCGGCGGCACTACAATTATCACCACAGTAGAAAATACGTTCGCGAAATGGTCTCTTTCTGTCTCACTCTCAGTTTTTCAGGTGCCCGTGCTCTATGTATTTGTGAAATAAAAATTCTTTACTATTATTTCATGCGAATCCGCTGTGTTATGTGTTTTATGAATTCTGTTTCTGCTCTGCCATAAAACATACCGCGTCAATTCTGATAGTTAGTGATTTTTCGCTCATTAGTCGGCGTTCATGTGTTTGTGTGCACCAAAATATCAATTTTGTTGGTGTTTTTGCCGAATGTTCTTACCGTAAAACCGCGTTAGACATTCGATGCGTGTGCATGTATTGGTAAAAGTCACTCACACTGTAACTGACGATGAGGCAAACACAAAGCAGCATTGAACGCGGCCATTTTCTTTGTTGACAGTTTCCATTAGTAACGCGCTTTTTTGGGTTTTACTCATTTTCGACAGATGGCGATGGAACCGCAGCGTGGCAAGCTTAGACTGAACGATTCAATTCAAATTTGCGATTGAATTGACATTCACTTTGCCTATTTCTTCTTTTTCCGACGAAATTTCAATGTAACTTGAGAATTGTTCAAAAGGCTATGCAAAATCTTTTTTTAAAAGTTTTAACGTATTCACATTCACGTATCTCATAACTAGTTTCGTGGAAAATGAAATAATAATAATGAAATTAATAAAAATTAATTCAATATCATCGGAATTTTAATTTAAGAAAATCCAATTGCATCCCAAAAAGCGGATTTTATATATAACGACCCTGAAGCGGGACGGTTATCATCTAATAGGTTATCACTGGCACTTAACCAGAATTGTTAAAATAAATTCGGATTTTTGTCAAGAAGTGCAAATGCCATCGTCAATGCCGTTCATTTGCACATCGATAGGCATAATATTCAAAACTAACTTTTGCTGTGAGTCGCTTCACGACGCATATTTTCAAATATGATAATTATTATTATTTGCATAACGACACTAATTGCCGTTCAATTGACCAAAATTCCATAAAATGATCAGCAATAACATTCAACAATGCGCCAAATCATGACACATATGCGTTAGCAACGAGGCTTTCATCGGCTACGGCGATGGAGTATTGGTGTGCAGCTGTCCGCTTTGAATAAATATCGCAATGGATTGTGTGTTGTGTATATTACGTGTGCTCCCACAAATCAATCCAGCTTAAAATTTGTGCATTTTACATAATGGCGCTTTGATGTTATCGCTTCGTGCACGTGTTTACAAATGTGCATTAGTCACTTATGTCGATTGTATGATTTATCCGCTTTCGACTGTGCAAGATACTCTCCGTCCATTCCGTGGTTACGGCATTCAACAGCATGAAAGGGAACATCCAATGCGGAAAAGTGCTTTTGATACAAAATTTTGTGGGCAGCATGTGACCAGAAAAAGAGAACGGGAGCGGGGTTAGCGAGCGAGCGAGCGAGCGAGGGAGAGAGAGAGCGCCTGTGTTACAAACGGAGTTCATTTAATGACGACATTGTTGACCCTTGTGTTTGGATGAAGTTGAACAATTTTCATCGTTTCGCTTGGAAATCTAAACAGTTTCATCCGAAAAAAGTTGAACTGGTTTAGCATAATGAATCGCTCGCATCATAAGCGCTGTCAAATCAACAATAACTACTGATATGTGAACGCCACATTTTCGCCCCAAAATCGGATGTATTATTCGGTCAGATAGTTGGTTTTCATGTGCATTGTATACACACACATTGTATACCATTGGACAATTGCACACGCAAAACCAAATTTCGATGCATGTGATAGACCACGATATGTGGCCGCTACGCACTCTATCCAAGTGCCCATAGATACACTCTATATGTGTACTCGAATCGAATATGTTGCATATTTTTGCATCTTACACATTGGGGGCATTTATGGTCGTGGTCATAACATTTAACTCTCAGTAAAATCCGAAATCATTTCCGAATTTTCAAATTAGCTCATTCACTTCGGCACAATTCGCACTTTCCATTTTCTTGTAAATTCTCATGAGATACTAAACATTGACTCGCATATGTGTATATCCATATTGGCCATAGATTAGATTCTGGAGAGTTCAACAAATTGTATTTATGGAGCAGCAAACAAATAAACTGCGTAGAATATTTGAAATGCTTACGCTTCTGGTGAGACTGCATTCGGTTGGAGAATGTAAAGTATGCAAGAATGGAGTGAAATGCTGGAAATACGTCTCGTTTTGAACAATTGCAATATTTTCCATGTCCAGTATTAGATGCAATTGAAGAAAACAAAATATATCCGTCATGCCAATTTTGCTGGTCAAACAATGCGAACAGTAAACTCAATGCAGCACACACCATAAAACACTATCAATTTCAATAGTATTCACATAAAGGTAATGAAAACCGACACATGATGAACGTTTGCAAAAGGAGCACGTGCACGGGGCGCTTCAACTCGGTCGATATGTCAGTTCAATTCCAATTCAATCCATTTTCCATAGATCACAGCAAAAATTATGTATGGATTTGTAACGTGAATTCGGCAAATAAACTTAAAAGAAAAATGGGAAGAAAAAAAGTCAAATTTCTTCTTCTTCTCGTCGTCTTTTTTTCTTTGACCCGGTCACAATTATGCCATTCGTTTGCGTTTATGGCATGCATTTATTATTCAAAGGGATTTCCTTTCGTTGTTTCTTTTGGCCGGGTATACAAAGTGTTCATTTCTCCCAATCGGTTTTTATGCACGACCACTCGGTTCAATTGGCATTCAGTTGAACGTCAGTTCAGTGAGTACGCGAGAGGAAGATTAGTAGGCACTGAGAAAATTTCCATTTCAGACGGAAAACATAGCACATTTTTGTAGCCAATTCAAATGGAATCGCTAGCAAACGAAGAATTTTTAATTTCACAAAAATGAACCGAAAATAAAAACCATGGAAAAGATACATACATAGACGGAATAATAGACATATCGACGTGGATAAAATGCATACAGATGCTTTTATGTGAGCGATTTTTTTTCAGTTAACACTCAACTGCATAAGCCCGCCTTTTGGCGGGCATCATTTAAACACCTGTATAATGTGAATCGTACGGCGGATGACATTGCTTCAAGGGGAATTTTTATTTGTCAATGTTTTTTCTTTATTTTTGTCTTTGGCGTCATTTGTCTATGTCGTACGATTGGTGAGTTATAAACAAAAATGTGCACGAAAACGAAAATTTGACAAAATAAATTATTCGGTTTCCAAATTAGACATATTTTTGACACTTTTAAACAATGGCTTTCATTGTTCTCTGACTTATTTCTATCGCATTTCCTGACTAAACCATGGGAAATCTAGGATTATGAATATTTTTTTCGTTATCTATGGCCAAAAATCAACCAAATACCAGTACTCCCAGTCCTAGGAAAAATTCATGCAGTTGAGGGTTAACTTTTCGAGCGCAGTGAAGCGATCACTGGGGCCATGATTCAAGCCCGGCAAGTGAACAGATAAAGAGACAAGGCAAAGCAAACATGTTTTGTATTAACGAAGCTACGTTTCTGCCAGATAATAGAAAAAAACCTTTCATAATTTCAGAAAGAGAGAAAAAAACAGGATAAAATCACCTAATCATGCACATAAAATTCAGGAATATTTCTTCTGAATGCTGAATGCTGAATGATGTGAAGTGTGCTTGAAAAGGGCCGTTCAATCACGATGTTATGATAATGAGAAGTTTTTATTTTCATTTTAAAATTGTGTATTTTGCTAAATTTGCACTTGATTATGTGCGGATGGAAATCAAGCGTGTCTGAGTTGCCGCTGACCAGCGTTTAAAAGCAGCAAAATTACTTTGCTGTGTATGAGTAATATTATAATATCTACATTATACTCGTTGTTCACGCTTTTGTTTTGGGGGTTTGTTAGCATATAATACATTTCCACTGCAGCTCTGCTTGACAGTAGCACAATACTTTTCGAATCGAATCCTAGTTTTATTGTTTTATCTCCAAGTGCTCTGTCGGCCAAATGAAGGGAGGATGTAAATCTAATCTATCAAATCTGCGGTTGTGGTCATGATTTGCTCGCATTCGTGTGTCGATAAAAAAGAGTAACAAAGCCAAACAAAGACCCTCAAATCCATACATATCCACGGCTTACACACATTCCTCCGATGATGTTGGAATAATGAATGCAAACAACGCCTTTGAATGATGAAATGTGAACACTGTACAATGGAGCACATATTGTTATTGCCTTCGTTATAGAGATCACTACAATTTGATAAGCATTACACAAAGAGATGCCATGATAGCCACTTTTGAACAAAGAATATTTTTGACGGTTTTGCCGGAGGCTCTCGAATCCACTACATATATATATATTGATTTCATCTTGAAAGGTGAATTTCAAATCCGTTGGAACTGATTGCGGCCGCATTGTTCTACTGACTAACAACTTTGGAACAATACAATCAGCAACCACACCATGGTAATAACCATGACCAATTTCATGGGCACATAGAAAAATTCAATCGAAAACGGTAAATGGCCCGACAACGAGATAATATTTCAAGTAAAAGCAATAATCCAGAGTGTCCCAAGCCCGACATTTGAAATATGGTTCGTGTCAGAAAAGCAAAAGGAAGAGTAACAGCTCTCATGTACTTCATACATCCAGTGTAAGCCCTCAACAATGACAATAGCACTTTTTCCCGACCTATCATCAATACGGTGTTTTTCCTTTGTCTTACCCTTGGAAATAAATACGCGAGATAGAAAAAAATACAATATTCAACGTATAGCAATCATCTGTTGTATGGCGTAATCGGAGTAGTACACACGATAAAATTATATGATAATGAATTGTTAAGCTTCGATTGAAACACGTGTAAAATTATAATCCTCTCATTTTTGTGAAAATTAATTGGTAAAAAAGGGTTGCGTTTTTACAAAAATAATATGACTGCTCAGTGAAGCAGCGGACTTGTCGTCACACGCGCAGATGTAACATTTCACTCTATTTAGCGATTCGTTGGTTACCGAAACATCGTCTGCAGTGCACTCGATATTTAACGTGAAATCTCAATATTTGGTTAGCCGAATGACCTATGGCTACTACGATGAAGTACGACGTTATATCTAACGTGAATTGCTTACGCGTGGCGCCGCAAACGAAATCATACTTCGGCTTACCGAATATAAGGATTTCACGTTAAATATCGAGTGCACTGTATAGACGATGTTTCGGCAACCAACGAATCGTTAAATAGAATGAAATGATACATCTGCGCGTATGACGACAGGTCCGCTGTTCCATTGAGTGAAAGAATTTGTTGAACTCGCTTTGTGGAAAAGACTGACCA